TTGAAAAGTCACATTTTTTATCGTGTCATTAGCAATTATATACGAACGCGACAATTTTTATTCGTTTTTCTCTATTTCTGTATGACAGAGAGAGACGACTAATAAATTTCCTATCATCGCGTGCGTTCGAAGGTTTTGAAACAAAAACAAAAACTAAAGCGCGTGTCATTATTTGCTTAATCAGCAGCGTAAATAGTAAACGGTTGTTGTTTGTTTGTTTGTTTTCACACCTTGCCAAAGGGTTTCGTCCCTGGACAAAGGATATATTTATTTATTTTTTCTCTTTCCGCCGATTGTCGCGCGCGCGCGTTCCTGTACGCCCTTGTTACAAAAAAAAAACGCCCATAACGCACGCACGCACGCACGCACACACGCACTCGTCTGGTCTTTTCTTATTTTTGTTCAGACGGAAGAAGGAAAAGAAATGATTAATTGAGAAAGAGAGAGAGAGGAGGGGGGGGGGGAAATTTGATTGACGTATCGATTTTGCCACGCTTTGCAAATTTTCAAATATTTCGACATCATGTTTACCCCGATCGTCAAACAAAAAAAAAAAAATTTTCCGGACGTGAAAACTATGTAATTATCTCTTTCGTATCGACGGTCATCTACTTACACGATTATTATCTACTTACACGATCATTCATTGTAAACAAAAAAAAAAAAGTGAGCGACATTCGTCACAGATCACGTTACACGTTATGATAATAATAATATTATTGAAATTTTAATTGCGAATAAGGGAGGAGGAGGTGGGGGGAAGGTGCGTGTGCGTGCGTGCGTGAGATTGAAAAACGTGGCGGTTGTGACTGCGGTGACGGTTTTGTTTTCAAAAAGAAAAAAAAAAAGAAACAAGTTTTCTTATATGGTTTTTATATATCAAGGACCTAACACCTGGCTACGGTTCTGTTCGTGACAAAGTTTTAATCGTCAGGGTCGTCGCGGTTTTTTTCTCATAATTAAAATTTCGAATGTTTTTATCATCATTATTATTATTATCATTATGGAGTCTCGTACGTTTATCATTCAGGCTCATCTAATCTTGTCATTAATGACAAAAAAAAAAAAAAGAAAAAGGTGACAAATTTATAGATATTTAAAAAATATGCGAGACGATAAAATGATAATGATAATAATTGGCGTCATCGATCGTCGTATTATTATCATTATTAATGGATATCCGTTTGGGTGACGGGTAATAATAATAATAAATAGGGAGCGTCACGTTGATGGGATTAAAAAAAAGGGAAAAAAATTTTTTTTTTTTTTTTTTTTTTTGTTCTTCTGACCCGATGACGCCTTGACACGATTTTTTTTTCATTCTACCTGGAATTCCAGGTTTCCAGTACTCTCCAGAATTTTTTTTTTTGTTGGGAGGGTGTCCTTGTCGACATTTTAAAATTTTTTACGGTTTCAAGGGCGCTGTCGTCGTCGTCGTTTTTTTTTTTAAATGTTAACGCACGTATTTACGCACGTGATTTTTTTTTTCGATTAAGGAGGTGGGGGGGGGAGAAATAAGGTTTCCAGGTTTTCCCGATTTTTTTTTCCGGATATTATTTTCCAGGTATGAGGTATTTTAAGGGATGGGAAATCCTGTCGTATATATCAAAAATATTTTTTTTCCTTAATGACGTCATCAACCTCGTAAAAATTTTTTTTTTTTTTCAAATCGGTTTATGAGGGAATCGTTGTCAAGGAGCGGGGGAGAGGGTAGGATGAAGAGAGACAGGAAGAAACGTGGAAAAAACAAAAATTTTTTTTTTTTTTTTATTGCCACGTTTCGATCTCACGCGTACGACGACAACAGCATCGATTAAAATTTTTTATAGATTTACCAACGACCGTCAGTATATAAGCATGTTAAAAAACGTGTTTTATTATTATTATTATTATTATTTTATTTTTTCCGCGGAGAAAGATGGGGGGAGGGAGGAGGAGGGAAGAAACATCCGGTACTAGAATTACACGTTCGTTAGAAAAATTCTCACTCAGCAAATGGAATCGTTCGCGTTTTGATGTGACTTTTTTTTTTTTTTGTCTGTTTCCACTTGTGCGTGTGTTACGCGTGAAATTCTATTATTATTATTATTATTATTATTATTATTATTAATATTAATATTTTACGTTTTTAACGAATTTTGATTAAGGCATAAAACAAAGAAGGTTTTTTTTTTTTAATTTTTTGCCTCTGTCAAGTTTGTGTCGGTCGGTTGTTTTGTTTGTTAAGTTCGCGAAAATAAAAACAACAACAACAACAAACAACGTAATAATGATGATTAATTTACGTTAAATTTGTTTTCGAGTCAAAACGTTTTTCGCATAATATTTATTATTATCATTATTATTATTATTTACTTATATGGCTACTTGTAGTTATAAATTATAATTTTTTTTAAAAAAAATCGACGTTCTGGTTACACGTCGAAAAACAAAAATTTTGTAAAATCGTGTCCCTGTAATACGCACTCATAAATTTTTTTTTTTTTTTTAAATTTTTGTCGTGACTTTAGAATTTTTAGCCAATCGATATAAAATTTGCGAAATAATTATCAATCGAATTTATTTCGAGATTTTTCGTGAAACTGTCGTGGCAAGAACGTGGCTTTGATAAAAAATAATCGAAATTTTTTAAAAATACTCGCGAATTTAAGGTACGCGAAATATACGTAAGGTACGGAAAAATTTTAACGGACATCCCTTTTCCGTAATACCGCATTCTAAATAATTATCCCCCCGAAAAAAAAAAAAAAAAAACAAGTTTTAAGTGACCGCCTACGGATCTACATTAATCCAGTCTGGAGTTTAAACGTTTTTTTTTTTTTTTTTTTTTTGCAATTCCAATACACCGGCATACCTTGAAAATATTATTATTATTATTATTATTTTATTTATATTTAATAGTGGGGGATCTAGAAAAAAAAAGAAGGACACATAACAAACGTGAGGCTCACCGTGTATACTCCTTCTTATTAATGTGGTTGTAACAGGTTTTCGAAGTCAAGTTCAATGCGTGGCAAATGGTCAATGTTGCGAGACTTTTTTTTTTTTTCTATTTTTTTCTTTTTTTTTCAGTGGGTTTATTCTATTTCTCTCTCTCTCCCTCCCTCCCTCTCTCTCTCTCTCTCTCTCTCTCTCTATCCCTGTTTGTGTTTATGTTTGCGTTTGTGTCAAGGTATTCATCCCGTTGTACCTGAGCTTTTTTTTTTTTTTTTTTCATATATCGGTCATAGTTAGTAGTCGGGTAAAAATAAGAGCGTAATTTTATACAACGTTTGTTCGTTTGTTTGTTTGTTTGTTTGTTTATTTTTAAATGACGCCATTTTTATTAATGAATATATAAATATTTTAAAACAGACGCAATAACAACAACAATTATTATTATTATTATTATTATTATTATTATTATTACTATCACAACACGGTGCCAAAGGCATGTTTTTTATATCTTTTCAAATTTATACGGGTGTCATTTTAAGTACTTTCAAATAGTAATAATAATAATAATAATAATAATAATAATAATAATTATAACTCTAACAGTTTTTTTTTTTTTTTTTTTTAAAACAACGCCAGCAAAAAAATTTAATCGTTATTACTATTATTATTATTATTATTATTATTATTATCTGTATCCGGTTTTTGTTTTTTTTCGATTTGGATTTTTGAACTAGTTTAAAGCAATAATAATAATAATAATAATAATAATAATGATTGGTATGAAATACAAAAAAAATTGTTTTAAATTTGGCATCAATCGTTTTTTTTTATTTTTTTAACGAGTTTAAAGTTTTTGCCTCGTGACTTTAGAAAAATCGCAATGTAAAATCCTACTGCCACTACTGCCACTGTTAATAATAATAATAATAATAATAATATTTTCTCTATCCCGAATCGATGACGTTTACGAAGACGACGTCACGTTAATTTTTGGGTTTAAGTTGGCGACGGGAAAAAAAAAAATCCGATTACGAAGTGTTATCATTATCATTATTAAAATAAAAAAAAAAAAAAAACGTTTCACCTGTCTAGAGTCACGTTTATTTTTTAAAAAATTTTTAAATTATTTCCTATCGATATCGAAGAGTTTAAATTATTTTATCTTTGAGCTAAAAAAATTTTTGTTCTAATTATTAATTAATTAATTAAAAAAAAAAATGCACAGGCACACGCTCACGTACACACGCATAATTCCTCCAGGGGGATTTTTCCAGGTTAAAAGAAAAGAAAAAAAAGTGGGTCAGGACCTTGTCAATGCCGACACGATAATATCCGACCTTGAATCTTCTCATCCAGTTAGGCACCTGGATTTCAATGACTTTTCCGATCTAATGATATCATACAAATCATCATTAAATCTGTTTTAATTATAAATAATAATAATAATAATAATAATAAAATAACTCCGCCTTTATCTCTCTCTCTCTCTCTTTCTCTCTTTCTTACCTTTAAGGACCTTCCAGTTAGGAAAACCTCAATAGTCTCGACATCCCCACTTACGATCAGTTTGTCTTGAGCAATCGGCCGGAAAAGTCGTTTGTCGCGAGGAAATTACGAGACGACTACAAAAAAAAAAAAATTTATTTATTTATCATTATTATTATCGTTGTTTTTTTTTTTTTAATATGATTTTAGTGATGTGTATGTATATTAAATTTTTTAAATTAATGTGAAATGAAAAACAATTATTATTATTAATAAATAAATTTAATAAAATTAATTAAATGTGTTCGTGTCGAGTAATGAAAATATAATAATAATAATAATAATAATAATGTTGGAAAAACATTTAGTTTTTAACGGAGATTCACCTCCGAGAAATTTTACAACAAATAGAGTTAAAAAAAGGACGATAAAGTCCGAGGTGAGAAAAATTTGTTTTTTTTTTTCTAGAACGTTTTCGAAAAAAAAAGAAGGAAATGGAAAAATGAAAACGGTTTTACATTTTGGAATTTTTCCGCGGTAAATAATTTTTTTTTTAAATTTCTCGTTATTAGGATCCCATGTCTCATAGAATAATTGAAAAAAGGCGACGTGATAGAATGAATAATTGCCTTGCCGATTTATCCCGTCTCATTCCACCGGAATACCTGAAAAAGGGTAGAGGACGCATAGAGAAGACTGAAATCATTGAAATGGCAATTAAACATATAGGACACCTTCAAAACATGATAGCAACTACGAGATTTAACGGTGAGTTTTGACGGGGAAAAAATTTCCCTTAAAGAAGGGATGGAGGGAAAAAAGGGAGGGAAATTTTCGATTCATACGAAGGATCCCGAAGAAAGAGAAAACGGAATTTTTTTTTTTTTTTTGTTTACGATATCGAAACGTTCCAAGTTTTTTTTTTTTTTTTTTTTTTTTTTCTAGAAAGTTCCTTATAAATAATTTTTTTTTTTTTTGCTTTCCTACACCTCCAGGCCACTTCCCTTTCACTTCTCCACACACGTTTCCGCCCATAAAACGTCACGAACGAGACATTAATTGTCACCGTTGAAAATTTATTCGGCTCGTTATTAAAATTTAAAAGAAAAAATAATAATAATGATGATAATAAATAATAATAATTAATTTTGGTTTTCGTAAAGAAAATTCAAATGGCTCGGTTCCATCGCCTCCGGGACCGACAGCGATGATTACGAGGGAACCCCCGCCGCCGCCGCCGCCACCGCCATTAGCCGTCAATCAACCCGCCGCCGTCGTTGTTGTCACGGCCAAACATTATAAAATGGGATATTTGGAATGCATGTCGGAGGCTATGCATTTTTTAGTAGAAGTTCAGGGTTATTTTGCCGGAGATTCTCTCTGCGTTGAAATGATAAATCACTTACGAAAACATTGTGATAAAATTTTAAAAGGTAAAAACCTTTCGATATCCGTTTCCGGTTTGTTCGTTCTTTCGTTCGTTCGTTTTAAATTATTTTTTTGTTGTTGTTTAGAAAACAATTCGAACGGTTTTAAAAAATACGGAGAAGATGGTTTAAGCAGCGATTCGTCGATAGTGAGTCCCATAAATGGAAATTACAGCAGCACCGAAAGTTCTCCTCCACCCCCGCCGTGTAGACTGTCTAATTCCACGGGCTCACCGATTTCCGACGAAAATCAATCGAATCAATTAATGGAAATGAGAACGGGAATGATGGACGAGGATTATTATTCTCCGAAAAGATGTCAGGAAATTAATAATTGCGTTATGAAAAGAAATACGGAATCGTTTTATAATAAATACGTCGAATATGATGGAATGGACCACGAAAATCGTTACGATTCCGATTCTCGAACGTATTCGATCATGATGAAATGTCAGAGTAGAAAAGATGCAGAGAAATATTATTATAATTCGACTGGAACGACGCCTAGCGTCGTTTTTCAAAAAAATTCTAAATATGAAAGTTACGAAAATTTACCGCTCAAAAACGAAAATGGTAATTTTCATCATTATTATTATTAATGAAACTTTTTTTTTTTTAAACCGGAAATGACGAAAAACATTTTTTAACTTTTTGTTTTTTAAATTCTTCAGGTCCGTCGCAATTGAGAGAAATGTTGACGTCACCGAGTCCTTTGGGAAACAATAATAACAACAACGTCGTTGTCGGTCGTTACGGGAATGCGAGATGCGTACCGGATGTGAAAGGAAACTTTTCGGAAAATCCTACGGGAATGAATGAAAATTTAAATAATAATAATAATAAATCGAATATAAATAATAATAGTGGTAGTAGATCGTCGTCGATGGTTGATTGTCAGGAAAATGGTGAAAATCACGGTGGTTTAATGTATAAATTTAAAAATAACATAAAACAAAGGTTTTCAAAAGAAAATGAAGAAATTATGGGAGAGAGAAGAGATGAACAAATGGTTTCACCAAAGAAACAAAAAATTGAAAAATGTTCACTCGTTGTAAGAGAACGTTTAAGTTTGGGAGGGGAGGAGGAAAGGGAAAAGGAAGACCGGAAAAACCGAGAAGAAAAGGAAGTTGATGACGACCAGGAGGAGAAAATATTTAAATACAAAACGGATTTAAACGGAAATAAAAGACTTATCGATTCCGAATCGATAATATACGATAAAGAATCGATAAATAAAATAAATATTAATCGGAGGGAGAGTGAAAATAAATATAGAAATTATCACAATTATCACAACGGTCAAAAATTATGGGGTTTGTCACCGCCGCCGCCGCCGCCATTACCACCACCTCATCATCATCATCCACTTCCGCCACTTTTACCACCATCTCAAAATGTTTCAATGTGTTCGCCTACGTCATATGGACCACCCCATCATCATTCACCGATGTTATGTAAATCCATAGCGATTGGGTCATCGAGACAAGAATTTTCATCCGGAAATACAAATAATAATAATAATTATTCGACGAGATGTTTAGAAACCGGATATGGAATTCCAATATTTGCATTACATTCGAAAGGGTCTTTTTACGTGCCATTGACGTTAGATCACGCGACTTTAGCACCATTTTTAAACGTTTTAGGGGTTACGAAAAAAGACAATAACGATGATGATGTACATGAGAAAACCGTTTTGCATCCAGTCACAATATCCGTTAATTTTCAATCTCATTTAATGAGGTAAAATTAAAAAAAAAAAAAACAAAATGATAAACTGTACTTACAAACGATTTTTTCCTTTTTTATTATTTCATAAATATCACCTATTCCTATAAAAAAAAAAAAAAAAAAAAAATGCCAAATATTTATTACTTCTTTTCTTTCTTTTTTTAAGCCATTTGTAATTAGTTTTTAGTTAAATTAAATTTTTATTTTTCCTAAATTAATAATTATGTACATATATATATATATTTAGTCAAATCGTTTAAACTAAATAAATAAAATTTCAATTATAATTATGCAACGTATATTATATCATCGTCTTACCTAATTTCCATCTTTTTTTTTTCAATTTATTCGATCGGGTTTAGTATAAATAAATAATATTAATGAAAAAAATATGTCCGATTATTATTTTAACGTATTTATGAGGAAATTTAATTAATATTTCGTTTGAAAATAAGTTTTTTTTTTTTAACGACAAATATACATTTTGTTAACAATGTCTCGTAAACCGCCATTTTTTCCTTTGAATCAATGGATCGTTTTTTTTTTTTTTTTTGTTAAATTGTTTTGGTAGCATTGTTTTTCTTCTGCTTAAAAATTTTATTTATCTTAACTGTAGTAGTACATTTAAAAAATAATTATTTTATATTGAAATTTTTATTTAAAAAAAAAAATGGGTACATTATATTCTTCGATATGGTTTAAAGAGTTACCTGAATATATACCGGAATCGTATTCAAAGCCAACATTTGATCCCAATTTTGGATTTGAAGCTCCTAGAAAGAAAAGAGGTTGTTCAATTTTTATGTAATTTTGTACTTTTATTATTTCATATTAGGTGCATAATTATTTTAATATATATATATAGATTATCTAAATGTAGAATACTACTACCACTCGATGGCATGAATTATTTTAAAACATAAAATAATTTTTTTTTCTTCGAATAAATCTTTTAGAAATGCACATAACAGAAGAAGAAATGGATGCTCTTAAAATACCCCCAGAAGAACGAGACTATTGCACTCATTTTCTTCGTGATTATTATGATTGTATTTACAATAAAAGGCCTTTGAATTTTTTATGTAATAGAGAAAAACATGCTTATAAGCATTGTAGACAAGAAGAGTAAGTAAAATTTCTATTTTTTTTAAGTACTTCAATAACTGATCGACTTGTATCGAAACATGTTTCAATGTTAATTTTATATTTTTTTAAAAAAAAAAAATTATTATTTTGAAATTATGCATTTAATTATCAAGGAATTAGTTTTATTATTATTTACAATGCATCAACACATTTAATTTTTAATATTCAGTTACATTTTTTTCATTATTTATATTATTATTTGAATTCAAACGAAAATTTTTTTCGATTTACGAATGATTTTATTTTCAGTTTTTATTTGCAAATGAAAGAATTTGAAAGAGAAAAACGATTAAGAATAAGACAAATGAAATTGGAAGGAAAATATGTAGAGTGAATTTATATAAAAGACACTTTGTAGATTGTTATTATTGTTATTGATTTACAAATAGATTTCTTTTTTTTTTTTTTTCTTATCGAATTATGGAATGGGTAAATAACTTACAATTTTGGCTGGCTGGTATTGAAAAACTTATAATTATTATTATATCATGAAGTACTCATCTGGATGATTCTACAATTAATCAATTATACAGTATAATTTTCTAATTTTTTTTATTTTGTAAAGTAAGTAATTGTACAGGAATATTTACTTTTATTAATATTATTATTAAAATTGTAGTTATGTTATTTTTACCTTATGATATTTTATGGTAATAATTAGGAATCAATCAATATCGAATATATAATTTTTAAAAAGGAATATTTCTCTTCTTTTTTTTTTTTTTATTTTAAATTTATTAAAATTTGAAAAAAAATGTGTAAAGTCATTAAATAAATTTTAAGCATATTTAATTAAGTTTTTGTATGTTATGTACTCAGTATGAAAATGTTTGGCAAAATTTTTTTTTAGTTTTCGTCAAGTTATATGAATTTACGATTAAGAATTTAAGTATTTTAAAGAAATTATTGCCTTCGAATTGAATTTTTAACAATTTTCAGACTCAATTGAATATAATTAATGTATATATACATAAATTATCCAAGAAATAAATTATAAATAAAAAAATTAAGTATAAATTTAGCGATTTTGCCATAAGTTTGAAAGATTCAATATTTAATTATTATCTAATTTTTTTCCATAATAAAAAATATAAAAACATTTTATATAATACAAAAATTTTTTAAACTCTTAATCAGTTTTAAAATTTATTTTAATTGCTATTATTATTGAAAAACAATTTGGCTTTTAAAATTTAAATATTGATAAAGGGTTGTGTATACTGACCAATTTTTTTTGCTCATAGTAAAAAAATAAATAAATTTTCATTTAAATATTTATATTAGATACAGATTTGCTAAAAAAAAAGATAAAAAAACAAATCACAGTTTTACATGAACTATAATAATTAATTATCTTACTAAAAAAAAAAATAAATTGAAAACATTAATTGAAAACTAATTTTTTTTCTTTAAGAGATTAAGATATTTATTACTATCGAAATTATCATCGAAACTCTCTTCAACTATGACTTTTTTCTTTGGTTTTCTTTTTTGAAGATAATAATTTCTTTCTTCTTCAGATAATTTACTTAAATCAAGTGGTAACTTAAAAAAAAAAAAATAGAAAGAAACAAGGTAGGATTATTAATAAAATATGTCGTTGAAATTTATAACGAATAAAAAAAAAAAAAATATAATACCTTAATAATTTTTCTCGGTTCATGATATCTAACTGTATAAGTTGAACCGTCAGGTTCAACAACAAGAGTAGGATAATGTTTTAAAAAATGTTTTCTATGAATTTTAGTAACAACAGCTGATGTATTACTTAACCACCGAATTGACTCGTAGTTTTTATTTAAGTACTTTGAACCTAACCTAAATTGGTTAAAAAAAAATAATTGTTTTTTTATTAACAAGGTTTAGTCGCGTTGTAATTTTTTTTTTAAATTACCTTAATAATAAAGTCATAATTTAATTTTTTTCTTTCTATCTCTCTCTAACAATTCAAAGGTTATCAAAAAAAGTTAAATGTAACAAAAAAAAAAAAAAAGAGAGTATTTTATAACAGTAAAATTTTTTTTTAAATTTCCATTACCGTATTAACCTTTGACTAGAATTTTTTTTCCTTTGAATATATATATATATTTATATGTACAGAATAATAACATCTTAAGTTACCAATAATATTTTGTAAAAATCATTCAAAAAAAAAAAAAAAAAAAAAGAAAAAAGAAAAAAAAATTTATTTTTAAATGTGATAACGAACTTTTTTTTTTTTTTTAAAAAAAAAAAAAAAACATTTATTTCTCGTAAAAAAATTTTCAGTTGAATATTTTATTTAACGTATAAATATATAAATTAAACATTTAAAGAAAATTTTTTATAAATAAATTTTTTTTTTTTTTTTTTCAAAATCGTCGGTTACAGTGTTTTGGTTCTGAATATTAGCAATCGTTTAAAAGAGTTTACGAGTAAAATATAAAATGGCGCCGTGTTGATTTCATTTTTTCGCGTATTGTAAAAAGGTGAAAGTTTTTCATTTAGTTTTACGAACTGATTCGAGTTTGTTATAGTGTTATTTATGTTTAAATTTATCATTATAATTATGTAGTCAATAAATTTTTTATATTTAAATAAGTTTAAAAAAGTAATAGGGATTATTTAATTAATTAATCTTTTACTTACTATATATATATATATATTAGTTTTTGATATTTTTTCATTTTCGTTTGGAGATTTTTTTTTTTTTTATTATTAATTTTATAAGCAGGTGCTATTTAATTATTTTATTAATTTTGGTTTTTTTTTTTTAAATTTTGACTTTGTACTTTTATTTAAAATTAAATTCAATATTTTAATTTATTATATATATTCGAATGTAAAATCGTTAAATAGCATATGTCAATTTAGTCATAATTGTTTGGGTAAATTTTTAGTTAAACGAAAATTTACTTATTTTTGTTTAAATTTAATGATTCTTAGTTAATTTATAAATCAATTAATAACTTTTTATTAAACTTTTTGCTTTTTATTTTAAAAAAATTTCAATTTAAAATCACTTTAGTTGTGGTTATTTTTAGCTCGAGACTGTAACATTTTTCATTTATTATTGTTGTTAAAAATTATTTTCTATTTAATTAATTATTTAATTAATTATATTAGGACTCATACAATAAGTTTTATTTTATTTTAGGCCCAAATATATATAAATATAAATTAATGTTATCGATAAGTTTTAATAAATAATTGTAAATAAATATTTTGACATGTCAATCGAAAACTTTTCTAAATATTGTATTTAAGCTTTTTAATTTGTTTTTAATTAATTATATTAATAATAATAGTTGTAAACTACTATATAATAATGTTTAAATGCATGTAATAAAACTTTTTTTTTATTTGAAACATTTCAGGGGACAAAAAAAAAAAACAAAAAAAAACAAAAAAGAAATTTCATTAGAAAAAAAAAAAAAAAAAATTTAAGCAATATATAAAATGAAACAATTTAATATTGGAAAAAAATATTTGAGAACATTAAAATGATCATTTCGAATGTAAATTAATTATTTTTGTAATTACTATGCTGGACAGTTTAGATAATGGGAGAGATGAGGCAGATAATTCTGTAAAAAATACAACCCAGCAATTGCAAAAAAATTGGCCGGAAAATAAAAAGAATAATAATAATAATAATAGTAATAAAAAATTAAAAAGTGATTGTGTTAAAAAGGAAGAGAAGGAAATAATTGAAAAAGGAAAAACATGTTTAAAGGAAATAATAAATCAAAAAAATGGAGAAAATTCACATTTTGTAAATTTAAAACTAGGAAAAAATTCTTTGAAAATGACACCTAATGATGATAATGATAAATCTCAATGTGATAATAATGAAAGAAGTATGTTTAGAGAAGAAGAATGTTGTTCGAAATCGACTCAAACTCACAGAATGACAGGTTCATCTTGTAGAGCATTAAAAGGTGCCGTATCAACTCTTCATAGGTTAGATGATTTTAATATGGAAAAAATTGGGTCAGGATTTTTTTCAGAAGTTTTTAAGGTAATTTTTCTTTTTATTTGTTTCATTTTTTTCCATTGTTTTTCATTTGTACATACTCGAATGTATTTTTTTTTTTTTTTTACACATGCCATTATTTCAGTTGTTTGATATAAAGTCATTTAATTTTAAATTGATGAATATCGAATATCAAACTTGTCTAATTCTATAATGAATTTACCCAAAAAAAAATTTGCCTGTCGTTATTATTTTATTGTTGTTTTCTGTTTGAAAATTAAAAATGGTTGGCTTTCCAAATAATTTTCCATGAGAATTTAAAAGGATTTTGTCTATTTGCTGATAATGAACCACATTAGTTTCGTTTTAAATAAATAAAACAAAAAAATTTACAAATATTTTAGATGAGACTTATTCAAACTCAGTTATTGTATTAAATTTTATCGTTATGATCATCATCATTATCAGATTAGTTGATGTGCTAAATACTTATTATGAATGGTCAGGAAGTAAATTTTGCGTTTGATTTTTTATTAAAATGGCCCCCTTTCCGTTGGGTTTTTTTATTTATTATTATTATTATTATTCAATAATATAACAAGTTGGGAATAATAAATAAAAGAAAAAAAAAAAAAAAACAATTTCTGATAAGAGTACAAAAGCGATAATGAAAAGGGAACATTGATTGATAAGATTTAAATTATAAAACGATTGAACGAATTTGCTTCTGGGGGGGAGGAGGAGGGAGGGAATTTTTTTTTTTTTCTGTTTTGAATGGCCATCCAAAAATAACAAGGAAAAATGTAAAAAATGCAAAATAATAATAATAATAATTTATGTAGATATGAAATAAAAATTTCGGCTGTTGATGTTTTGTTTTTATTGTTATTGTTGTTGTAGTTGTTGTTGTTGTTGTCGTTGTCGTTGTCCTAGTTGTTGTGCGGGGTTAGGAAACTTTGACTTAGTGCTACTACTGTCTATAAATAAAAATATTTTGTTTAAAAAAAAGGAGGCGCCCCGCGGATGATGGGAAGAGTATTGAAAAAAAAAAAAAAAAAAAAAAAACGCACACGATGGGTCCCATTTTTTTATTCTCGTCCTCCTTTTTTTACTTTGTATGACGTCAAAAAATTTGTTTTCGATATTAAAAAATTTTATGTTTTTCTGCGAATCGATTGTGCACGCACACGCACACACACACACACACACACACACACAATGGTCATCTTATATCCATTCCATCGTTTTTTTTTTTATTCGTCAGGTTTTCAAATTTTTGAATCCCCTCACAAAAATGTCTTTCGAGTTGTCCTTGGTTCCGGTGATCTCCCCAAATGATAAACGAAATTTATTTTTGATTTTTTGCCCCCCCTCCCCCTACGCCACCATAAATTTTGGCTCGTTTTTATTAATTTTTTTGTTTCTAGACTTTTCTTTCGGGTTTCTTATTCCATCGTCATCGTTGTTCTTGTTGTTGTTGTTGCTGATAGTATCGGTGTTTGTATCGGTTGTTTATCGTTTGACATTTAACAAAAAATTCAATTTTCTTTAGAAAAAATTTTTAAGCTTCAACAAATTGTTAATTAATTTTTTCGTTAACGAGTTTTCAACGCGAATATTTGGCCTAACACGATCGTAATCCGTCTTATCACTCCTTATCACAGAACCTCGGAAAATGTTGTTTATTAAATTTTAAATAAGAAAAAAAAAAAATTCCTTTTTGTAAAATCGCTTTTTTTCGTCTATCCGAAAATTCGAGAAGGAAAATTTCTTTTTCGTGAATTCCCACGGGAATACGTAAGAAAGGGTATTTCGAAAAGGGAAAAGAACCCGTTAAAAATGTTTTCCAGAACGGGAGGGGAAAGGGAAAAAATGAAGGAAAACCTAGTTTTTTGCCCCCCCCCCAAAAAAACAAAAAAATTTATTTTTATTTTACACGCGTGAGAAGTTTTTTTTTGGAGAGGGGGAGGGGGGGACGGGAAATGTTATTTCCTAATCACGAACGTTTTTCCATAACATTCCATTATTGTTATTATTATTATTATTATTATTATTATTATTATTATTATTATTATTATTATTATTATTATTATAAATATTAATTTTTTTTAATAAGAGTGACGAAATGCGAGGTTAAGAACTTTTATTTAGAACTTTGAAAAAAAAAAAAAAAAAATTTTTTTTGAAAGAAATTGGGGAGGGGGGAGAAAGGGGAGAGGGGAGTAGGAATTTGTTGTTTTGCGTAAGTGAAAGGTTTAGGTAGGAGGTAAAAAGCGTGGATAATTACTTAATTTATCAAAAATGTTTAGTTAGTTAATTAACTAATTAATCAATCGATCGATCGATCGATCGATCGGCTTTCTTCGTGTTGCGGGTAACAAAGTAACGAACGTTCCCATGAAAATTTCCCTACCTACCTCCCTCCCTACCTCCCTCCCTACCTCCCTCCCTACCTCCCTCCCTACCTCCATACCTCCATACCTGCCTCTCATATATTTTAAAGAATTTTAATTATTTTTTCAATTATTGCGGTTTAAAAAATTTTTTTTATTCGGATTTAAATTCTTCTCCTTATAAATAATCATTATTATTATTATTATTATTATTATTACTATTATTGGTGTTGACGAGTTTTATTTATTTATTTATTTATTTATTAAAAACCGTTGGAAATCGGTTAATTCCGTTCATGTAAATCGAATCGAGCGAATTTTAAGAATTTTTATGTCTTCTGCTTACTCTTCTCGTTCTTTCGATTGCCAACTGTTTTTCTTATCGTGGTTATTAAAGGTTTGGACAAAAAAAAAAAGTGTCAAATCACTCTTATGTGAAAAAAACGGTGATGGTGATGGTGGTGGTGGTGGCGGTGGCGGGGGGGGGGCGTCGGACAGAAAAAAATGAAAGCGGTAGAATTTGTGAAAATCATTCGTGATTACTTTCGTTGAGAAATTTTTTCTTCTTTTTTGTTATTTCGAAGAAACCGGAAGAAGAAGAGGAAGAAAGGTACTATCAAGAATCTGTACCATTTCTTTAGGATTGCAATCCTGCTTCGGTTCTTGTACGATAGTTTTGGGGAGGGGGAAGGGGAAATTGTTGTTGTTGTTGTTTGTTTACGAATTTAAGTTGTCCGTTTGTCGGAGTTTGAATTCGTTTCGTTTTCGATTTTGTTTGTCTAAATTTATCTCGAATCGGCTGATATTTTTGTTGTTTGTTTGTTTGTTTGTTACCGTCTGTTGGCATGAATGACCGTCGAGGCATAAACACATTTTTTTTTCTTTTCTTTTCTTTTCGAAAACGATGTGTCTTATCGTGCGTATTCAAGTGCGTCGCACTACTACTCGCATATCGAACAATAATAATTTTTATGCAAAACTTTTTTCTTTTTTTTTTTTTGTTGTTTTCCCCGCAAACAAAGCAAATCATGTTGTTGTTGTTGTTGTTGTTGTTGTTGTTGTTGTTGTACAGTTCAAATCGTTTTGCCATAATGAGAGAAAAAAATGATTTGCTATGCAATTTTTGTTTGTTTGTTTGTTTTCTCGTTCAAATCGTTCGTTTATGCGTTTATTCGTTATTTTTATGTTTTTATTAAAGTTTAATAAAAAAAAAAAAAAAAAATTTCATGTTTAAATGTGTGTTTATAAATATGCGGGGGGAGGGGGACGGGGACGGGGACGGGGAAGGTTTTCGAAGGCGATTAAGTCACGAATCGTCCAAAAATGTCCGTTAAATTTTTTTTTTTTTTTTCCCCCTTCGGGTCGGTTTTAAATTTCCTTTTTTTTTTAACTTTACCGGTTTAAAATTCACCTTGAATCGTGTAAGATATTTGCTAAAAATTGACTTCGAAATATTTATTTATAAACTCGAAATGGGTGGGGGGCGGGCGGGTATTTCGTATGGGTCGGATTTAGACGTCGCGATCGAATTTGAAGAAAAAAATTTTTTTTTTTTTTTTTTTTTTTTTTTTTTTTTTTGGCGAAGATCGAAATTGATGATGATTTGGAAACGTGGGAGGAGATCAAGATATCACGTTACGACGGGGAAAAATTTTTTTTTTTTTTTTTCAAGTGTTGTCGCTCTGGGTTCGTTACAAACGGATTTATTACAAAAATTATTATAAGATGGACGAGGTTCTTCCTTTCTTCCTTTAGTTGGAGTATATAAATGATTACGTCACTGAGAGAGTATCCATCGACTTCCGGTGGATGGAAATCCTGTGAAAGTTTTCTACTGTGTCCTCGTGCTTGGTTTTTTTCTGATGCGCTTTTTTTTGTTTGTTTGTCCTTTTTCATCGTCTCTCTCTCTCTCTCTCTCTCTCTCTCTCTCTCTCTATCTCTCTCTCTCTCTCTCTCTCTCTTTCTCTCTCTTTTTCACTGCTGGAATCTGCAATTGATTATTCGTTTGTGTGTGTTTGTTCATTTCGTTTAGCCCCGATAGGAAACCTCTTATTAAATCTTTAAAGAATTGAAAGGTGGGAAGAAGGTGAGTGATAAGAACGGAAATCAATGACGTAGGCATTCGCAAAGAAACGAACGCCGTTAGAATATCGTTTTTTTTTTTTTTTTTGGGGGGGGGGAAGGGGGTTTAAACTTTATGAATCGTCATCATTCATCATTTCATCGTTATCACTAAGATAAAATTTGTTATCAATGTAAGGGACAAAATTCAAATTTTTGTAAAGTTTTGTTTTGAGGGGAAAAAAAAAGTTATTTTTCGTTTGTTTCTATTAATGAAATAATGATGATGATGATGATAATTTGTGTTATAAATATACATATGTATATATTGTTTGTATTGTTTTCAGAGAGAGAGAGAGAGAGAGAAAGAAAGAGAGAGAAAAGGAAATCGTTAAAATAATAATAATAATAATAATGATATGGGTATCAATAGTGAATCAATGAAATTATTACGGATGTTTATGATTGATCGGTTATTGACAAAAAAATATTATTATTATTATCATTATCATTATTATTATTATTGTTATTATTATCATTATTATTATTATTATTATTATTATTATTATTATTATTATTATTATTATTATTAGGGTATATTGCAATTCATTTGTTATTGTTAACGATTAAAATAACGGTTGAAACAATAACAAATGATTTGGTTGTCGTTAGGTTAGTTTTTTTTTCCTCCGAGAAGTTGTTACCCTCGCGATGGGTTGTTATTATTATTATTATTATTTTTTGTTTTTTTTTTTTTCCGGGTCACGACGTTCGTTGAACTTTATTTCAAACCTTTTTTTTCCTTTTTTTACTTTCTCATCCCCCCCTCCCGTTCCGTTCCCGCTTTTCGTTCCATTTTTCTATATAGTTCCTTTTTTTTTTTTTGTTGTAATAATTAAAAGGTTAGCGGTTGACCTCATGATATTTTAAAGTATAATTTTTTATTTATTGGAAAAGGTTTTCGACTCTCTAAACACGAAGCATGCAAACCTTTTCCGCATTTTTTGTTTTTTGTCGAGTTAAGGTCGAAGATCTTTGGTTTCGTTTTACGTCTTTTAAACCTTTTCTCTCTCTCTCTCTCTCTCGGTCGTTGGCAATCATTTTTTTTTTTTTTTTTTTTTCTCTTTTTGTTTTTCAAAATCGATTAAGAAAATCCGATAATGAGGTATGCGTTAATTATTTATTTATTTAATTTTTGTTGTTTGTTTCCGTCGTTGTTAAATTTATATCGTATGAAACGAATTTTTTTTCGTTTGTTTGTTTGTTTGTTTATTTATTCGAGTCGATTGCGAATAATCGTTGAACCTTGTAATTAATTAATTAATTAATTAATTATCGACGTGCAAAAAAAAGAAGAAAAAAAAATTTAGGCTTTTGCGAAATACCAAGTTTCCTTTTTTTTTTTTTTTTTTTTTTTTTTTATATCTTTGTTGATTGTACATGCGATTGTTGTTTGTACGCTGATTGTTAATTTCGAGTTGTCGACAAATATTTTTCAATTAAGTTTTTTTTTTCTTTCGTCTGGTTATTAATTTTTAGGCAGAAATCGTCGTTGTCGTCGTTGTTTTTATTGTTGTTGTGGTTGTTGTTGTTGTTGTTGTTATCATTGTTATCATTAAAATACAATTAAACGTTTCCTTATCAGTCGTCGTTGTGTCTTTATTTCTGGATATTTGTGTGTTTTTTTAAATATCTCTTTCATTATTATTATTATTACTATCATTATCATCGTTTATGATTTTCAAAAGTATTACGTATAAGAATTTACTAGAACAGATAATTTTAATTTAAGGTGAGATAATAATAATAATAATCGCATCGTCTTTATCGATAATAAACACTCTCGATAGTTTATTTACAATCGTTTTGTCTTCTGCTTGTCTTGCACGAAAAACACGACGTGACGTAATAAGAAAATTTGCAAATATATATATGCACATAGGGATTTTGTGAGGTTTCGATCTGATTCCTTCGTTTGAAAGGTCATCGGTTAAAGAAAAATGTGAAATAAGGGGAGGGGGGGGGCGAAAGAAAATGTCGTCTCGGGTTATGTAATTTTTACTTTGCAGTTTTTGCAGAAAAAAAAAAAACAAAACAAAACGTTTTGTCCGGTTGAATTTTTTTTTTTAAAATCGTCCTTGAAGGACGAAAAGAAAGCGAGTAGGAGTAGTAGGAGGTCTGTCTAGCATGGATGGTATGTGCGTGAGTGCGTACGTGTGCAAGTATGGCATGCACCTGATATTTACGTGCCTAAAACCGTAAGATGATTAGAGAGAGAGAGAGAGAGAGAGAGAGAGAGAATGGGCCACTTTCATTTCACTATATCTATTATTCTTTTCTATCTTTCTCTCTCTCTCTCTCTCCTTGTACTCCTCTTCTTCTTCTTTTTTCGATTTCTTTCTCTTTGGTTTTTCTTTTCTTTTCTTTCGGTATAAATTACACGGATTACTAAACGGTTCCACTTTCATTTCGTTCATTTTTTAATTTTTCGTTGTTTTGATTTTAAAAAAAAAAACCGGGCAAGGCGTTTTCGTAAATAATTCAATACACCGTCACGGCCCCCTATTTATTTATTTATTTGTTTATTTTCGAAGATACTTTCTTTTTTTTTTTTTTTTTTTTGTAATTTTATAAACGGTTCGGAGGACCCCCGGCGAACAGCAAAAGAAATTTGAAAATTTACGTTATAACTTTTTCCCGAAACTCTTTCCGGCAAATTTGTTTAGCTTTTTCCGGAAGACTCTACCCGATGGAAATTTAAATTTGGGTTTTTTTTTTTTTTGTTTTTGTTTGTTTCGTTATGTTGGCAACACGAGGAAATGAAAAAAAAAAAAAAAATTGTTGTTGTTCAATGTGAAATTTTCAAGGCAGAAAAAATTTTTTTTTTTTTCGTTTGAAATGTTTTTATTATTATTATTATTATCTGATGGAATTTAATTAATGTAACAAGATGGCGGTGGCGGTGGCGGTGGTAGTGGTGGTTAATTACCAGGACGTAACTAACTTCACTTTCATAACTTTTTCTATTTTTTTTTTATGGTGAGTTACTCATTTGAAAAATATTCACGAGGAAGTAAATACGATGATGATGATGATGATGATGATGGGTAATCAATTAATGGGTGGATTAAGGTGGAAAAAAAAAATTATTACGATCGAAATCGAATGAAATTTTACGTAAAAAAAAAAAAAAAAGGAAGAAAAAATTAAATTAAAATTAAATTAAAAATAATAATGATGATGATGATAAAAAAAAAACAACAATAATAATAATAATAAAAGTTTTTTCTTTGGAAGCTGCTGTATGTGCGACCGAATAAAAAATTAATAAAAATTTTCAAAACAATCGTCATTATGAATAATTATTATTAGGATAAATTGGATTATGTTAAAACCGTTTGTTTGTCTGTCTGTTTGTCTGTTTGTCTGTTTGTTTGTTTGTCGTTGTCCTTTTTGTTTAAATTTAAAAAAAAAAAGGATTTTAGAAGTCGGTTTATTCTCTATCCATTCCAATTTGAAGAATTGTCATTAATTGATTGAGTAACGATTTGGAATCGACAGTAAAGTATTCCCCCCCCCCTCTCTCTCTCTCTCTCCTCTACTTTCTCTCTGTATTTCTCTGTAGCGATATTCTTCCTTCCCGTTCACCTTAAGAAAATATTTTAATAAAATTTCGATCGACCTCGATCTCGTTTTCGAGGGAAACGACCCCGGGGGCCTCGCCCGGGGTCTTGCTCCTCACACGCACAAACACACACATTTTTCGTTTCGTTTCGCTTTGCCTGGAACCCACCCGAATAATTCATAACATTTTTAAATTTGTAATTATCTAGGACATTTTTTTCGTTTGTTTCGTGGGCGGATTTTTCTTCTCCCAGGTCAATTTTCGCAAAGGGAAAATAAATAAATAAATAAATAATGAAAAATTATTATTGTAATTTTTTTCCGCCTTATTTATTTATTTTGCTGACGATGTGCTCTTCCCTTTCCTCCCCTCCCCCTCCCCGAACGGTTTCTCTCGATTCGATTCGATTTCATTTTTATTATTATTATTATTTTTAAGCAGAAGAAAAAAAAAAGAAGTTTTCAACTCCCATCCATTGTTTTTTTGCAAATTGAATTCAAATTGAATTTTCTAATTTTTTTCTTTTAAATCGGTAATTAAATTAAAGCGTTCGCCTTGTCGTTATTATCTTCATCATCATCATCATTATTATTAATATTATTATTATTATTATTATTATTATTATTATTATTGAAATTTTACGTTGCGTTTGTAATAAATAACAATAATAATAATAATAAAAATAATAATGTTAATGGAATTATATTAGGCCAGATGACTAAATGTTTAATTTTTTAAATAAAAATGTTATTATTATTATTATTATTTTATCGTTTCGTCATTTATTATTATTATTATTATTATTATTAGTATTGTGACAGTTTTAGGTTATTTAAACAAAAAAAAAAGTTTATTTTTTTCACAAGCACTTAAATACGAAAACGACGAATGAATCGGATGGAGTGAAAGGGTTTGTTCGGGTATCTCCCTTCCCCCCTTCCCCGCCAGGTATATGTTCGGATGGTATAGCATATGGCAAACGATGCAAGTTGAAAAGAATTCGGGGCATCATCGTTGTTGTAGTAGTATTTGGCGTAGTCGTCCTCATCGTCGTCCTACCGCAAAACGTTTTCGTTTCAAGGTAACTTTTCAAAAAAAAACCAGGTGTTGCCAACGACGATGAAGGTCAAATGAATTTGCCGAAATTCATTGTTCAGGTTCGTTTGTTTTTCATTTTTCCATCCCCGTTCTCTCTCTCTCTCTCTCTGCCCCGTTCGTTGTCTCTCTTCTCTTTTCCAATTTCCTTTTCGTTCCCGCATGTTGCCGTCGTCGTCGTTGTTGTTGTTGTTCTGGTTGTCATTGTCGTTGTCGTTTTCCTCGAATGTTCTACCACCTACGAAATAACAACAACTGCGTCGTTAATAATTTAAATTTAAATTTTTTATCGTTTCATTTTCCCTTTTTTTTTTTTTTTACTTTTTAACCGTTATGCTTTTATTATTATTATTATTATTTTCGTAAGCGGTAAAAGTCGTGCGCTATCTTATCTGTCGTCGTTGTTGTTGTTGTTGTTGTTGTGTACGTTGATTGATTACCTTCAAGGTTGTACCTTCCGACAAAAGATAGATAAATCATGTGATTGAGTTGTTATCCCCTTTTTTTCTTCTTAATGAAATAATTGTATTGACGTTTTAAATCACGTAAAAATCTCGGGTGAACGAAGAAAAAGAGAGAGAGAGTGACGTAAATGCATTTCTTCTCTCTCTCTCTCTCTCTGGAATCGAACGATATTTTATTTATTTATTTATTTATTTATGTTCCAGGTAACGCATAAAGTGACCGGAAACGTTATGGTGTTAAAAATGAATTTGTTACGTTCCAACAGGCCGAACATGCTCAAAGAAGTTCAGCTCATGAATCAGTTAAAGCACAGAAACATTCTCAAGTGAGTATTTCGAGATGGTTTATTATTATTATTATTATTATTTATTAACTAATAATGATGATGATGATGATGATGATAATAGTGGTAAGAATCCGGAAGAATTTTTGTAGATTTGAGAATTCCACCGGTCCATGGAAATTTTTTCTTTTTTTTTCCCCCTCTATTCATTGTTGTTATTCTTTTTCTTCTGCTTCCACTTGTTTTATTTTTTCTATTTACCCGTTTTTTTTTTTCTTTCCGAATGAATTCCTTCACCTGGCGAAACAATTAAGAAAAAAAAAAAAAAAAAAAAAAAAAAAAACTTCTCACGTTTCGGAGGCTTCCTACATGCAGTTTTAAGGAAATTGGGAGGTGGGCGAGGAGGGGGAGGGGAAGGGGGTAAGGAGGGCAATAAAAATTTTCCTTTTTTTTTTTTTCCGCCGTTACGCCACCACGAATTACGCCACGTCGGTGCACCACGAAATGCAATGCGTTATTCAAATCCGGGCTCCCCCTCTTTCCCTTCCCTCTCCCTCTCCTCCCATCGAGAGGAGAATTACGAAAGCGAGGGGGGGCGGCGGCGGCTCTTATTCGGAAAAAAAATTTTTCCTTATTTCCTCATTTTGAAAAATTTCAAATTTTTTAATTTCGGTTACGTATTTTTCTCTCGCAAGGTCGTTGGTTCTTTCGTTTGTTTGTTTGTTTGTTTGTTTGTGGGCATTGTAATTTTAATCGCAGACAACAAAATAATTTCGATTTGTGATAACTCGTATCGATTTAACGTATATCGTTTTTTTTTTTTTTTTTTTTTTTTTTAATAAAACATCCTGCACGTTCATGTTTATCCCGATTTTCGAACGGGTTTGATTACATTTCGAAATTGTCGTCGTTTTTTCGAAATTCGAAACGAAATCGTAAATTTCGATAAAAATGACCGGAAGATGGGAGTGGAGGAGACAGGAGAAGAGGGGAGGGTAGGCGAAATGCACTTTTGGCGTTAAAAAAAAAAAAAAAAAAAAAAAAAAAGAATAGGATGGATTGATAGTAATGGTAGTAGTAGGCTTCCGGTCGAACGAATGGTTGGGGGTGGTGGTGGTGGTGGTAGTAGACGGTGTGCGTTTGTTACGGACAATTGAACAGTCATGTTAATTATAGTTTTGCTTCTGGCCTTTTCACTTTCCGCCATTTTTTTTTTTTTTTTTTTTGCTTTTGTTTTTCGTTTCCTCGAGTTATTTTCGTAGCTAATATTTAAAAAAACTAAGCGCGGATTAGGGTAGGCACGGATTAAGAGCGGATTAAGCACGGAAAAGAGAGAGAGAGAGAGAGAGAGAAAAAAAAATGACAAGTCAAAACTTTGGTTTTTTTAAAAAATGCCTCGAACCGTGAAATTTTTAATCGCCATGATGATGATGATGATGATGATGATGTTTTGTTAATTGTTGTTGTTGTTGTTGTTGTTTGTTTTCTCTCGTTTGTTTGTTTGTATGTTTCCCTTCTCTTCCTTCTCCCTTCTCCCTCCTCTTCCTCCCTTGTGAATATTCAATTAATAAAAGACTTTTAAAAATTATAAGAAAAATTAATAATTTTCGAATAATAATAATAATAATAATAATAATAATAATAATAATAATAATAATAATATTAATAATTTTGTTTGTTTGTTTGTTTGTTTGTTTGTTCTGTCTGTTTTTTTTCAGTGTCGTGAAAAAAATCTCATCACCGCGATGAAATCTTCCGCATAATTTAAATATATATTCTCACTAACATTTTTTTTTTTTTCATTCTTTGTTGCTTTTGTAACGATTTCACTTTTCTTTTTTTTTTAATAAAAAATTAAAAATGTATAAAATAACGTTCACGTCGATGAATTATTTATGTAATAATAATAATAATAATAATAATAATAATTGTTTTTTTTTTTGTTGGTAGTTTCCAAGGGGTTTGCGTTCACGAGGGTCAACTTCACGCATTAACCGAATACATAAACGGAGGAAGTTTGGAACAACTCATACAATCGCGAAACATCGAATTACCCTACCTGACGAGGCAAGAACTCGCTCTGGACATAGCATGCGGTATGGAATACCTTCACGGTAAAGGAGTCTTCCACAGGGATTTAACGTCTAAAAACGTTCTTATAAAAAAGTCTGATGACGGGAGCATGATGGCGGTCGTCGGTGATTTCGGTTTGGCTGCTAAAATACCCGATCCAAAGTGAGTCAAAATTGTTGTTGTTTGTTGTCGTCTCCCTTTCGCGACCTCCTTTTCCTTACTTCTTCCCAAAAAAAAAAAAAAAGAGAAAAAAAGGAAAAACAATCGGATGATGGATGGTTGTTTGGTTTGATTGTTGCGTGCAAAAAAAAAGAGAAATCGTCGGTTGTCGTCTTTTTTTTTTTTTTTTTTCTCTCCATGAAAATTTATTATTAGGTTAAGGATTTTGTTTGGGTGCCCAAATTTTTTTTTTTTTATAAAAGGTCAAACGAGGGTCGTCGAAATCATATTTAAAAAAAAAAAAATAATAATAATAATAATAAAATATTGTCATATTTTGGTTTGTTTTTGTAACGTCAAAAAGCCGAGGTCGTTCACGGGAAAAATATTGTTGTTATTATTATTATTATTATTACGTATTTATGTATATTTATTTATATAAATGATGACATTCATCGCGTAAACGCGCGAATAATAATAATAATAATAATAATAATAGTAATAATTTAAAGTTGTTTGTTGTTTTGTTTTTCAGATGTAAATATAGATTGCCAACGGTTGGTTCTGCCTACTGGATGTCACCGGAATGTCTCAAAGGTCAATGGTACAATGAAAAATCCGACATATTTTCCTACGGGATTGTTTTGTGCGAAATGATAGCGAGGATAGAAGCGGATCCGGACGTTTTACCCCGAACGGATAATTTCGGATTGGATTATTTGGCATTTTCCGAACTTTGCGGTCCTTGTCCACCACATTTTCTCAAATTGGCATTTTCCTGTTCGACCGTGAGTTTGGGAAAAATTTTTTTCTTTTTTTTTGAAAAGTCGAGGAAAATGTCGGAGGAAAATTCATTTCTTGAATTTTTTTTTTTTTTTTTTTTTTTTTTTGCAGTTCGAACCGAAAAGTCGGCCTTCTTTTTCCGAAATTGTTAAAACGTTACAAAAGCTCATTCCCGAGTACGAGGAATTGTTGAAGAGAGAAACGGATAGTAACGATGGTGTCAAAATAGTCAACGCGGGTTCCCTGAACGATTTGATCGATGCCACGACGGATAAATCGACGATGACGGCGAGAAGCGAAGAGGTCATAACAAGCAATTCAAATACTAAAGATATGATTCAACATAGGAAACGTAAGATGAAAATCGAAAAGGGAGAACATGAAAAAAAAAAAAAAAAATTTTTTTTCTTTTTCCGGGTTTTTCCAGGGCCGGGAATCAAAAAAATTTGACGAAGATAAAAATTCCTCAGCGGTCGGTATGACGATCGTGTTTCCCAAATGCTGCGACAATTACTTGCTCCTACCCGGGAAAATAATTTATCCCTGTCCCCTTTGATCGTATTTACCAGTATTTATTATTATTATTATTATTGTTGTTGTTATTATTATTATTATCATCACCGATGCTGTCGTTCCTGCTGCGGCTTTTTTCTCTCTCTCTCTCACCTTCTCGAATTCGGTAAATTTTTTTTTTCTCTCTCTCTCTCTCAAGTTTAAACGATATAAATTTCGCGCTGGAAAATTCCGGTTATAGTTTTTCTATACTACACGCTCAATTAATAATAATAATGATAACAACAACAACAATAATAATAATAATGATGAAAATATATGAAAGAAAAAAGTGAGTCCGGTAAATTTTTTTCTTTTTCTTTTTCTCTTTCCATCGCTTCATGATGAACCGCCATCTTTTTTTTTTTTTTTTTTTTTTGTTCTCGTTAATAATCGTTTTTTGTTTTGATTTCAGTTCATCACAGACGTAGTTTGTCTGAGGATGTCGCCAATATTATATTTCCAAGGCACACAGCTCCTAGCGATAAAGCTAGGTGCCATTATTTATCAACGCCAAAGCAGATCACGACGGGTTCGCAAGTATTAGCCAATCCTAAGTTTATTGGTGAAAGCATGTGCCACGTGGATCCTCACTACAAACCGAGGTAAGTACTGCTGCTGCTGTTGTTGCTGCTGCTGCTGCTGATATTGTGAAAACATTGAACGTGACGTTAAACGAAATTGTTTTCAGGGTTTCCGGCGAAAAAGGAAGTCGTTCGAATCCGTTTCTTTCTTTGGCTCAATTTCGCGGAGCCAAAAAAATAGTATCCTCTCAAATTTTAAATTCTTCGAAGGACTCTCAAAAATCTGTTGCTGACAGTCCGACATTTTATTTACATAACGATTTGTTTTCCTCTTGTTTCGAACTTCCGTCTCCGTTTTACGGTATAACTCCTCCGTCCAGTCCCGTGGCAGGAAGTAGTAGTAGTAGTTTCGACGGTAAAGTGAAAAAAGAATCGTCGAATCGATGCGGGATTTTTTTCAGAGAAGGCTGTGATGATGATTATAAGTGTGGAGGAGGAGGAGGAGAAGGAGGAGCGGAAAGTCACAAAGTTGCTAGAAGACTGGTTTTAACGGATTCCGCGGATCCTCTTGTTGCTAAAGTTCAAAATCAGTATTCGGAATCATTTAATAGTAGGGATGGTTCCATATGTCGCCGACAGAAGGCGTCTCCGAAAAGGCCAGCATCTTGCGATTGGCGAGGTCACAGTCATTCTCATTCTCATCATCATCATCATCATCATCATCATGTGTTTCCTACGAAATCGCTGTCGATATCCTTGCCGAATTCTCCACCCTTCCAAAGAAAACATAACTCATTTTCGACTCAAGAGGAAAAGCAATATATAACTAATGATAATAAGCCAATAACTGATAAGCCAAAGAATACACTAATCAAATCTCGAACGGTTCCTCTCATAATCGATGGTAAGAAACTCGCAGAAATCGATAAATCTCGAACCGAGTCGATGGAACCTTCGAAAAGGGAAGGTGATGACGACGGCGGCGGCGACGGCGGCGGCGGAGAGGAGAGAACGAATCGTCGCGATAATAATAATTCCTACGACTCTTCCAAAAACCTTTCCTTGAAATTCATCTTCCAGGATAGTTATCCGAGTACGAGGACGGAGAAAAAATCGGGAGGAAGGAAAGAGGAACAGGGGGAAACCGGGGACGGGGATTTGAGTTCGCTCGTGACGAATAGGATATCGACGAGTTCGAGCAGTTTGCTGGAAGCCACAGCAGACGAAACTTTTTTAATGGCGTCGCACGTTCAACTGAGAAGACGGGGCTCTTGCGAAAGTGGATTTTTCAGTTGCGTGGGAGAAGATTACGGGACCGCGGGTGAGTTTGACGAGACGTTTTTCTTTTTTTCTTTTTTTTTAAACGGTTTTTGTATTAACTGGTATTGATTTCCGGTTTTCTTTTAATTTAGGAAGCGAAGCTGTTTCGTCTTGCGAATACATTCTTCCATCGGCCCGGGGAAAACATTTAGATAATTCTTCTGCCACGCTCAGCAGTTCCTCCGCAGCGAGTTCGTTGTTCCTCCTCGACGATTCTTTGTCCACGACGACCGTTTCAAGTTTGAGATCAGGTAAGGAAAATTTTTCTCTCTTGGAAATTTTTTATTTTTTTTGTTTTTTTCGTTCGGTTCGCCATCATTTTTTTCTTTTTATTTTACTTCTTTCGGATATTTTTTTTTCTAATGGCACGTTGCGGTTTAAATTTCACAGCGCACAGTGCGTAATTTCGTTATGTTGAAAAACAACAACAACAAAAAAAAAGAAAAGAAAAAAATATTTATTTTTTTGTTCCAGGGGAAATTCTATAGACACGTTTTTTTTTTTTTTTTTTTCCTTAAAAAAAAAAAAAAAGAATTATTTTTTGATTGTTTTGAGAGAAGAGATTTTGGTTGTTTTTCATAAAAAACAATATGTGTGTGTTTTGTGCCCCTGTTTTATTTATTTCCGGTTTGTATCACAATTATTTGTGAAAAACGCTGTCGCAACTTTTTTTTTTTTTTTTTTTTATTTAACTGTTGTTTAGCACTTGCTTAATCTTGTCGCAAAAAAAAAAAAATTTCATTTTTTCTTTTAACTCGATTAATGTCGTAAAAAATAACGTTTGAAGTTTGTTGTGATTTTATTATTATTATTATTATCATTATTATTACTATGGTAAGGTTATTATGATTTATCATTGTCTCAGGTTCTGGAGATTTCAACGACATGGACGATTTGCAATCGAAATTCGCTCATCAAGCAATTTTATTTTCGAAAAGACCCTCATCTTCTATTTACACGTCATCATCGGAAGACGTATCGAGTTTGGGAGACGTGGACGAAAGGAATCAAAATCGTTATCAGTCGCAACAGATAAGCAAAATAGTCGAATATTTCGAAAGGAAACAAATGAGCGGAATGTTGAGTCCGGCGGGGACGAGGGGAGAAAATTTCCTATCGGGAAGAACTTGCAGAACGAGAAATTTTCCAAACGTCGAATTTCGTAAAAACATCGAAAGGTTCGATCCGGGTAAAGTGTCGGAAGATGGGAGCAGCAGCAGCAGCAGCAACAACAACAACGGCGGTAAAATAAAATGGGAAGGACTTGAGGGTAAATTTAAAAAATCCGGAATGGGTTTGACGCAAAAAAAAACGGACGAAACGTCGTCGTCGTCGTCGAAATTTTACAGTCAGGGTGAAAGTTCAAAGTTGAAAAAATTCGGACCGCAAAATGCTGCGGAAAATTCTTATCATCACCACGATCTGTGCAAGAAATTCGACGGGGGTTGTTCGATAAGCGACGCCATAAGGAAGTCGAAAATTGAATTGTTGAGAAAGAGTTTGGAAAAGGGAACGTTGCAAGTGCCCGGAATAAAACCGAATATGGGTACCAGCGGAAGCGGAAGTGGCGGCGGCGCCACCGTCGGCGGTACCATCGGCGGTACGACGACGTCAGCAAATCCAAACGATAAAAATTCTACGAGACCGTTGGCGACGAGGTTGATGATATGCGAAGGAGCCGTCAAATCCAAATTACAAATTTTTGATAAGAAATAATATGTTTTTCTCTCTCTCTCTCTCTCTTTCTCTTTCTCTCTTTTCACTGACTCGCCGCCATCTTTGACCAACGTGTATTAATAATATTTATTTATTTATTTATTATTATTATTATTACTAATCGTCATAGTCATCGTCATCTCTCGTACGTTCATTATCATTATTACGTCATCATCATCGTTATTATTATTATTAATATTTTATTATGCTCATAACAAAAAATTGTCGAAACAATAATAATAATAATAATAATAATAATGATAATAAAGTCGATTAACACACGCGCTTAATTTTTTACCGTTGTTAATTATTATTTATGCATTTTTATTGTTAATATTATATTTTGAAAAAAAAAAAAAAAAAAAAAAAGAATTTTTAACGTTTTTTTTTTTCTATCTCTATCTCTATCTATCTATCTATCTATCTTTCTCTCTTAAACTTCCCGAGGGAATGAAAGGTTCGTGTGATACGATTATCCGCGAGGAAAAATCATAACACATTAGGATTTAAACATTGAAATAAATGAGTCGGCCATTTTGTTTTTTTTTTTTTTAAATTTTGCTCAAAAAAAAAAAAATTAAAGATGAACGTTGACGTACATGCATAGATTATGGGAAAAACGGTTTTTTTAAATTTGTTTTCCTCATTCCGATTGTTGTTTCCTGTTGGTCCAATTGTTGTTGTCGTTATTGTTGTTGTTGTTGTTGTTGATGATGTTTTTGTTTTTGTTGTTGATTCCTGATGTATGTACGAATAATAAAAAATTGTTTGATTGATTGATTGATTGATAATATTAATAATAATAATAATTTGTAATTTTTTTTATTAGTACGATTTAGAAAATAATAATACGAGAAAGTCAAATAAGTAATAATAATATTAATAATAATAATAATTTTTTTCAATACGAAAAGAACTGAACAAGTAATAATAATAATAATAACGATGCTGATGATGATGATGATGGTAGTGAATAAATTGTAAATAAATTTCCCGGAATGAATTTTTGGGGATTACAAAATTCGTTCGTTTTAAATATTATTCCTTCGTTATTATCATTATTATTATTATTATTGTAAATTTGATTAACACAAAAAAAGAAAAGAAAAAAAAAACTTTTTATAGTATTTTATATATGTAATTAGTATCGTAATAAATATTTTTCTTTTAAAAAAAAAAAAGAAATTTCATTTCCCTTTATTCATCCATTTCCGTTTTCTTATTTTCTTCTTCCCCTCCCCCTCCCCTCCCCCACGGGGGGAATAATAATTTTTATTAAAGATAAAAATGGATTCGAAATTCGAAAGGTAATAATTAAAATAATTAAAAGAAATTATTTATTTATTTATTAATGAACAATGGAGAGAAAATTCATTCAATTTGAGATTTTATGTTTTTTTGTTTTTTTTTGTTTTAAATTTTGTTTCGTTTTGTTTTTTTTTTCTTTTAATTTCATTTTTGTTTTTTTCTTTAAAGTTTTAACCGTTTTCGACGATTCGTTTTTAATTATTTCTTGTGCTTGCTCTAATGGAGTCCCATGAAACATGTTTAATGTTGAATTTAAATTGTAAGTTTTTTCAGGTCTTGTTTCTTCATAATGTTCTTTTTGTGTTTTCCTATCCAAATAACGATTTCCTTTAGCTTTGTTGTTCATTCTACGAAACTGTAAAGAAAAAAAAAATGTTTGGAATCGTTAATAAAATTACAAAAAAAGAAGAAAATTTTTTTTTTGTTTGAGATACTCATAATGATTACCATTGTTGTTGATATGTAATGAGGATTATCCCATAAAACTTCACCCCCATAACTTCCAGAAAATATTTTTATAGGATTTAAAACAAATCTTGGTCCTGTTTAAAAGAAAAAAACAAAAAAATTATTGACCCATTTCGATAAATAATGATATTGTTTTGTAATAAAAGTTACCTATTTCAGCAAGTGCACCATCTTCAGATAAAATTTGATAATTTCTAAACCATATTTTATTATCTAGTATTGAAAATGTAAAAACATGATCTATGAATGGTTGACTTTTCGGATGATGATTCGGTGTAGAAAATATTTGTACGAATAATTCTTTAAGAAGTTGATAATGTGGTTCTTTAGAAAAATTTTCATCAAATGATAAAAGTGGTCTTGATGCTTTTAAACAATTTCCAGTTAATTTCAATTCTAACATTGTATATACTGAAATATTAAACAAAAAAAAAAAAAAATGAAAATTATCGTTAATGATTGGTGGGAGTGACAACGATAATAAAACTAACTGCTTTCAATTTCAAATTTTGCAGATGGTCCACTACTGCAATTAGACATCCAAACATATAAATCTTTTTTCCTTCTCGTTTCGAATAAAATTGATTTATTGCAATTTTTACTTTCAGCAATTTCGTTAATTATACTTAAATTATTATTTTTCTTTTCAATTTTATTATCTCTTTTAGCATGTGGAAGTAAATTTCTTATATCTTCCATTAAATGCCTGTGTAATTTAGTACCACCTCTTAGAGCTACCACAAGAACTCTTTGCTTATTTATCCATTTAACCTATTTTTATAATTAAAAAAAAAAAAAAAAGTTTTATTAAATATAAATTTTAAAAAAATTACAAAAACTCTCCTTTTGGGAATTTTTTTAACCTTTTTTTTTACGGGTTCGTCCGACTGACGGGTACTTGGCGGTAATTCATTAACGGATTCCTTTTCTTCTTCCACTCGAGCTTTTCTTTTAATACCTTTTTTATTTTTCATTATTAATTTGTATTAATTAATTATTGTTGGTTATAAAATCACTTATAACACCTCGCGTTATAAATTAGATGTTATAATCACGTGGTAAGTTATTTCTCAAAGGAAAGGTTATAACCACTTTTGTCCGTTGACTTTTCCTTTGACATTCATTTAATGTTTATTATTTTTAATAATTTTTTAGGGTACGTTTTTACTTAGAGATATGGATTCCGGTAAAAGAAAATTATCGACTTTGTTTGAATTGGCTAAAAAATTCAATTGCTTTTATTTATCTGGTGAGACGACATAAATGATTTAATACTATTGTTATCATTATTATTTTTTTTTTTTTAAAATTTCGTAAAATTAACTGGAGAAAGAAAGAGAGAGAGAAAGAGTGAGAGAGAGAAAGTATTGATCAGGTCTGACGCCTAATACCGATAAATTTTTAAAATTTTTATTTTATTTTATATTTTTTTCCATCGTTAAGTTTATATTTCACGACCTCATTTGTAATCATTAATTATTTTTTTATTTAATAAGTTTAAAAAATAATAACGTCAAATTATTTTTTATTATATTATTTACAATCGTAAATAAGTTAATTATGTTCTTTATCGTTAAAAAAAAATTTTTTTTTTTTTTTTTTTTTTTTTGTATCGACAACTCATTTAAATCGTTTTAAATAATTTATACGGATATTTATAAAAAATTTTTTATGAGATTTATAAAAGTAATTATTAAAAAAAAATTTTTTTATTATAGGATTAAACAAAAATGGTTATAGACCATTTATTGTGGAAGGACATCAAGTTGGTCTTATCAGGCCAGATATATCAAAAATATTGCTCAGTTATCCAGAAGTGTTTCTTAATCAACCAGACTGTGTAGAATTAAATCCAGCATTTAGAGATTACAATGAAAGATCATTGAATGTTGAAAAAGTTTTAAGAGAATGCCAAGAAAAAAATATTTTTTCAACATTAAAAGGTTGGAGAGATGAGGTAAACAAAAAAAAAATGTGTCAAATGTTTTTTTTTCGAAACGGAAAATTCTTAATAATAAACTTATTGTGAAATTCTATAAATATATGAGTGGGTGATGTTGAAAAAAATTTATAAATTAAATATTATGCAATCTTTTTTTTTTTTTTTTTAGTGCTATGATGTTCGTGAAACATTTTCAGACACTCCACTTTTAAAAATGGATAGATCAGCCATGTGCCTATTTGGAATTCGTAAATATGGAGTCGATATAAACGGTTATGTGAAACATCCAGATAAAGGTCTTTGTATTTGGTTACAAAGAAGAGCTTTAACAAAACAAACATGGCCTGGAAAATGGGATAACATGGTAAAATCATTTAAATCATTTTTTAAAAAAATTTTCCCTCGTGGTTAAATTAATATTAATGTAATTTAGGTCAGTGGTGGTTTATCAATCGGATTTGGAATAACCGAAACAGCAATCAAGGAAGCTTATGAAGAAGCTTCAGTACCTGGAAATTTATTAAAAAATTTAAAAGCAGCCGGATCGGTATCGTGAGTAGTTTTTTTATAATGAAGGATTCTAATAAACATTTTACGAAAAGTCATCATAATCAATTTATTAAATTATCAGGTTTTATTTCGAATCGGAAAGAGGTTTATTTCCGAATACGGAATTTGTTTTCGATTTAGAATTACCTCCTGATTTTTCACCGACAAACAACGATGGAGAAGTTGACGAATTTGAATTATTACCCGCCGAATATGCAATTAATAGAATCAAAAGTCCAGATTTTAAAATAACCGGAGCTCCGGTTGTTATAGATTTTTTAATACGACACGGTTGGATAACCGCCGAAACGGGTACGGGTACAAATTTTGTTTGTTTGTTTTTATCAAACGCGGGAATTTATAATTTTTTTTTTTTTTTTTTACACAGAACCTTATTTTCCGCAAATAATAGAACTTCTTCACGTTCCTCTTCAGTCACTTTACCAAAGGCACCATCATCATTCGACGGAAAATGGAAATTCTTCTTCCTAATAAACGACGTCATACATTCATTTATTTAATTTAAATTTAATGTGATAAATAATTATTTATTTATAATATTAATTTATTTTTTTTTTAATTTTAATTCTTAAATTATCAAAACTTAAATTTAAGAAGAAAGAGAGAAAGAAAAAGAAAATTTTAAAATTTTCTTTTCTTTCTCTTTCTCTTTCTCTCTCTCTTTTTTCTTTCTTTCTTTCTTGGGGTAATGATAAACTTTATCGCAAAAGTTTATTATTATTCATCTGGCTGTGTCTTAGTCATTTGTTTGTTTTCACATTCGAAGCTTTAGCAACAATCCAAAAAAAAAAAGGAGAGATTAATAATAATAATAATAATGATTATTATTATGATTAATTATTTCGAATGTTTAAAAAAAAAAATTAAGAAAATAGTCATCGAATTAAAAATTATTTGATACCAGTATCAAGGTTTCATTATTATTATTATTATTATTTATACGTTTTTTATATATTTAAAAAGATTAGCTTTATTATTATTAATATTAATAATATTAAAATTATAATAAAAAAAGATAATAATAATAATAATTTTTGTACGGATTTTTTAAATATATGTAATTATAAATATATTTATTATATGTACTAATGGGATAAATTTAAATTTTTTTATTTTTTCGATTATTCTCTAGTCATTCGGTAAAAATAAAAAGAAATTTTTTTAATAAATTTTCCCTTTTTTTTTACAAATGAATGTAATTAAAAAAAAAAACGAAGGAAAAGTTACATGTGATTTTACTATTATTATTATTATTATTATTATTTTCGTTTGTACGTTAATTAAGATAATTTTTTTTGTTTCTGTTTCGATACGATGAAAAAAAAATGTTTATTTTAAAATAATTTATTTAAAAAAAAAAAAAACTAATTTTTTAGTTTGCTTTATTAATTATTAGTTTTATTGTACTACTACTACTACTCAAATTTATAATATTATTTTTTTTGTGACTATATTATTATTATTAGTTTTATAAAAAAAAAAAAAATTTTTTTTACATAAATAAAAATGTTTCAATCGATATATTTATTGTTATTTTTTTTATCAAAAAAAAAACATAATTAAATCATCATCCTTGTTCCTTGAGGAATTATCATTAATACTCAGTTATTATCGGAGTGTCATGAAGAAACTTATTCATCAATGATGAATGTTAAATGTATTAGGCAAACATAAGATCAAAGGAGGTAAAGAGTAAAAAAAAATTCAAAAAATGAATTCCCGCCAAAAATCAAAATTTTATCATCGGGAACCCATACCCACTAAAACTCCTGGGCATGTCGCAATAGCGTGGCTTATGTGAAGAGGGGGGGAGACGCTCGTAGGAGTAGAACCTACATTTCAGTCTCCCCTCTCCGGTAAGCCAGAACGTTACCGTTCCACAGGATTCTCTTTGAGGGAGATGCGCCCTAATCTCCGTTCCGCCGTCACCTCGAAGATAAGAACGCATCTCCCAGAACGTTCGACAATCCCTTTCAGAAGCGTTCTCCGGTCCTTCGCTGAGGGGGAATGGGTACGGAAAGCTTGCCTGCTTCCAGAGAATGCGGACGGGAGGGAGGATTCAGACTAAAACTTCGTCACCTGAATAAGGGTAAGTTAAAGAAGAAAGTGAAAACGTTTGGTGACCGCATTCTCTCCTAACGGGTTATAAGGAGTAAAAGGGGGAGGGGGTAAGACAAATAGAGGAGATCGACCGGGACCGCCGATCTCCTAGAGGTTGGAAAGAAGACTCACCGACGACGAAGCTTTCGTTCGTCGTCGCACCTCGCTAATCGAAGACATCGTCGTCGTCATCTGCATCCTCGTCTTCGTCTTCCTTCTCCTTCCGACGACGACGTTTCCTCTCCCTGGGCTGATGACGATGGTTCGGAACAGTTCCTTCATCCTCCTCCTCTTCCTCTTCTTCCTCATCAGCGGGATTTTTCCTTCTCTTAGCCTAACCCTACTCGCCCGGAACATACGACGACAAATTCCGGACTTTTCGCCCTCGCATTTGTGATCCTCTTTTGCCCGCAGGATCACCCTTGAAAATCGCGAAATCGCGGACCATTTCCGGGGTCCGCGAAGCAACGCGTCCACGAGGCCGTGGATCGACCGGTCGGGTCCGATGACGCCGACAAGCCGCTGCCTGTGTTCGTTCCACGAGGGACATTCCGCGACCGTGTGCTCGACGTCGTCCTCGGGCGCGCAGCAGAAACAACACTCCGTCGTCTCCTCTCTGCCGAACACGCCGTGATCCGTGAGAATCTGAGCGAGACGATAGGTCAAGTTTCCGTGACCCTGCCCCACCCAGTCCCCCACTCGGGGGCCCAGGGCGACAACGATTTCGCCGCCGTAACGTTTTCTTCCGTCGTCGAATAGAGGACGAATCTCTCCATCGCGAAGAGATCGAGCGGGGGAGTGCCCGACAGAAGGCAAGCCACCTCCGCCGCGACGTCCCTGTACGCCGTCGCCACCTTGTTCAGAGACGCACTTTGCAGTTAGTTGGCCCTCTCACGAAGCGGTCGCGATGCCGCCACCGATTCGGCTCACACCGGTGCTCCGTACAGGGCCACGGAGTGGACGATCGTCGCGTAAAATCACCTGACCCAGATTTTGCATCACTCACCCTAACGATGCGCTCGCGACTCGGATCTTCGGTCCGAGGAGCGCGAAGTGTTGCCCGAAAATGAGACCCGAGTTGAAAGTGACCTCCAGGTACCTGAGCGTTCTCTTCACCCCGATTCTCAAACCTTCAGACAACAGTGCCAGTCCGTTAGGAAGCCGATTCCTCGAACAGTGGAATCCGCAAGCTTCCTTTTTTTTGCAGAGACACCCGCAGTCCGATGCCACAGATGACCTCCATCGTCGCGCAAAGTTCCGTTTCGGCGCGATCGCGAAACTCCGCCCACCCGCGATCGGTCGTGAGGAGCAGGGCGTCGTCCGCGTAGCAAATACACGAGCAACCTTCGGGAGGACGGTCCGAATGAGGACGCAATCGTAAGCGATATTCCGGAGGAGCGGGCCGAGAACCGACCCCTGGGGCACGCCGCAGAAAACGTCCGTCGTTTCCGTCGTTTCGTCCGACTTCTCGTACGAAGTCTTCCTCTCCGAGAGGAAGGACCCTATCAACGACACGAGATAGTCGGAACGGACTTCGAAACCAGTCTGTCCCTTATCGCGAAGCACGGAACGGAATTAAGGGCGTTTTTCACGTCGATAGAAACCGTGATCGCGACTCCGCCCCGGCGCAGACTTTCCTTGATCTCGTCTCGGACTCAAACGAGCACGTCGATCGTGGAGCGACCCACCCGGAAGCCGTACTGATTCGGAGAGAGGTCATTCCTCCCTCTGTCCTCCCCCATGTGACCGATTATCCGCGACGCCACGACGCGCTCGAACAATTTACCCTCCACGTCGAGAAGGCAAATCGGCCGATAAGCGCCGGGCGTCGACGGGTTCCTACCCGGTTTTTCGAGCAGCACGAGGTTCGCTCGCCTCCACTGCTTCGGAAACGACGCCTTCTCGAAACACGCAGTGTAGAACGACGAAAGACGTGAACACATCACCGCGACAGACCTGCCGAGAATCCGACAATGCACTCCGTACGGGCTCGGAGCCGAGCGCTTCTTGGAGGCCGCGTCGAGGAGGATGCGAATCTCCTCCTGGGTGACTCGGTAGCGTTCACGATCGAAGGCGAAGTCCGCCGGAGAAAACGCGTAGGGCGCGACGCGAGGAAAGAGCTCCGCGACGACTTCGGCGAGAAACTCCTCCGTCATGCCGGCCGTCAGCGGCCCCGACAAACTCCGCAGCTTCTTGGTCACGATGCGGAACGGAAAACCCCACGGGTCCGCGTCGACCTCGCTCAGGAGCTCCTTCCAACTCTCCTCCTTCGAACTCCATATCGCTCGACGAACCCAAACCCGCGACGCCCGCCACTCCGCTTTAAGCCTCAGCAAAACTGCGTCGGTCACGATTTCTTCGTAATCTCCTTCGCGGCGGAGGAGTTCCCATTTCCACCTCGAACCGACTACGGGCGAGACAGGACTCCTTCCACAGCTCTCCTATCTCGCCGTCCACCAGTATTTCGACCGCGAACCGACCCTTCTCATGCACGAATTCGAGATGCGATGCAAATCGTCCCGGATCCTCCGCGCCATCCCGGCGGTGTTCTCCACCCCCGAATCAAAACTGGCTCTTCGCCACGACACCGCGGCGAGACTCTCGACGAGCCACTCTTTGTCCATTGACCGCAGGCTCCACCGGGGCGGAACCACGACGTGAGGCTTGCCGGACTGAGAGGCAGCCCCCCCGAACTCTGAGGAGCCTCGAACGAAAACGCGAGGTAGGCGTGATTGCTTAGGGGCTCGAAATCGGAAAGGACCTTTCAGCCGGAAACCCACGCTGCGGCCACGACGGAAGAAATCCTGAGATCGATCTCGGACTCGCCGATGGCCAGCATGCAGGTTTTCGCCCCCTTTACGTTACGCACGGCGAAATGACGCGAATTGAACCTTTCCTTGAGGAGTCGGCCACGCGCGTTGTTCGCGTATCCCGACCACGAAGCGTGTTTCGCGTTAAAGTCGCCGTAGACGAGAGTGGGACGAGACCCCCCCTCGAACCGACCTATCTCCCTCGCGAGCGCGTGCAAGAAATTCTCAAACTGGCTGACGGGACAATTTGGCGACGCGTAAGCGAACCAGAACCACGTTTCCCCATCCGACCAGAACGAAAACCTCAGCCTCTCAGCTCAGCTCTCGAGGCCTCGGCGTCCGAACCGAATTTGAAAAAAGTATCGCGGCCGAACTTGAACTTGAATGGCTTGATGAAACTTCCCCATATTTACTTTAAACTCTGGGCAGAGCCGTTCGTTCTCGGCTCGCACGGAGAAGCTCCCCGCGTCACACCCCCTCTTCTCGAGTACCCCAACGGATGACTTTGCCCCTCACCGAAGGCGCCGAGCACGAAGGACCGCCCAACCGGTGTTTAGCCGGACGGCCGGCCTCCGCGCACGCGGCGCAACGAACGGAGTTCGCGCAGTCGCGCGCCCGCTGCCGTGCCGCTCCGCACCTTTTTTTTTTTTGATATCTCAGGAGAAATGCAGATTACGCACAACCCCTCCGAAGAGGGAGTGTGGGGCGTTGATGGTTTCTTCTTCACCGCCGCTGCCACCGTTGTTTCCCTTCTTTTTTATTCTTCTTCCCTGGAGCGCGCGACGCCGAACTCCTGTTTTTTCTCGTTCGCGTTCGCGGTCTTCTTTCGTCCGTAGGACCGCTTCCGAAAATCGCGAGATCGCGGACCATTCCCGAGGTCCGTGGAGCAACCCGTACACTAAGCCGCGTATCGACAAGTCGGGTCCGATGACCTCGACCAGCCGCTGCCTATGGAAGTCCCACGTGGGACATGTCGCAATTGTGTGTTCGACGTCGTCCTCGGCCGCACCGCAGAATCAACACTCCGCCGTCTCCGACTAACGAGTTTACGACTATGAGGGAGTTTAATGGGCGAAAATGGGTGTCGGGGGGGCGAAAGTGGGAGTTTATTGGGCGAAAGTGGGAGTTTAGTGGGCGAAAGTGGGAGTTTATTGGGCGAAAGTGGGTGTCGAGGGGGCGAATGCGGGTATCGAGGGGGCGAAAGTGGGAGTTTAGTGGGCGAAGGTGGGAGTTTAATGGGCGAAAGTGGGAGTTTATTGGGCGAAAGTGGGTGTCGACGGGGCGAAAGTGGGTGTCGAGGGGGCGAATGTGGGTGTCGAGGGGGCGAAAGTGGGAGTGTAATGGGCGAAAGTGGGTGTCGAGGGGCCGAATGTGGGTGTCGAGGGGGCGAAAGTGGGAGGTTAGTGGGCGAATGTGGGAGTTTAGTGGGCGAAAGTGGGTGTCGAGGGGGCGAAAGTGGGAGGTTAGTGGGCGAATGTGGGAGTTTAGTGGGCGAAAGTGGGTGTCGACGGGGCGAAAGTGGGTGTCGAGGGGGCGAATGTGGGTGTCGAGGGGGCGAAAGTGGGAGTGTAATGGGCGAAAGTGGGTGTCGAGGGGGCGAAAGTGGGAGGTTAGTGGGCGAAAGTGGGAGGTTAGTGGGCGAAAGTGGGTGTCGAGGGGGCGAATGTGGGTGTCGAGGGGGCGAAAGTGGGAGTGTAATGGGCGAATGTGGGTGGCGAGGGGGCGAATGTGGGAGGTTAGTGGGCGAATGTGGGTGTCGAGGGGGCGAAAGTGGGAGTGTAATGGGCGAATGTGGGTGGCGAGGGGGCGAAATTGGGAGTTTAGTGGGCGAAAGTGGGTGTCGAGGGGGCGAAAGTGGGAGGTTAGTGGGCGAATGTGGGAGTTTAGTGGGCGAAAGTGGGTGTCGAGGGGGCGAAAGTGGGAGTGTAATGGGCGAATGTGGGTGGCGAGGGGGCGAAATTGGGAGTTTAGTGGGCGAAAGTGGGTGTCGAGGGGGCGAAAGTGGGAGGTTAGTGGGCGAATGTGGGAGTTTAGTGGGCGAAAGTGGGTGTCGAGGGGGCGAAAGTGGGAGTTTAGTGGGCGAAAGTGGGAGGTTAGTGGGCGAATGTGGGAGGTTAGTGGGCGAATGTGGGTGTCGAGGGGGCGAAAGTGGGAGTGTAATGGGCGAATGTGGGTGGCGAGGGGGCGAAATTGGGAGTTTAGTGGGCGAAAGTGGGTGTCGAGGGGGCGAAAGTGGGTGTCGAGGGGGCAAATGTGGGTGTCGAGGGGGCGAAAGTGGGAGTGTAATGGGCGAATGTGGGTGGCGAGGGGGCGAAATTGGGAGTTTAGTGGGCGAAAGTGGGTGTCGAGGGGGCGAAAGTGGGTGTCGAGGGGGCAAATGTGGGTGTCGAGGGGGCGAAAGTGGGAGGTTAGTGGGCGAATGTGGGAGTTTAGTGGGCGAAAGTGGGTGTCGAGGGGGCGAAAGTGGGAGTGTAATGGGCGAATGTGGGTGGCGAGGGGGCGAAATTGGGAGTTTAGTGGGCGAAAGTGGGTGTCGAGGGGGCGAAAGTGGGAGGTTAGTGGGCGAATGTGGGAGTTTAGTGGGCGAAAGTGGGTGTCGAGGGGGCGAAAGTGGGAGTTTAGTGGGCGAAAGTGGGAGGTTAGTGGGCGAATGTGGGAGGTTAGTGGGCGAATGTGGGTGTCGAGGGGGCGAAAGTGGGAGTGTAATGGGCGAATGTGGGTGGCGAGGGGGCGAAATTGGGAGTTTAGTGGGCGAAAGTGGGTGTCGAGGGGGCGAAAGTGGGTGTCGAGGGGGCAAATGTGGGTGTCGAGGGGGCGAAAGTGGGAGGTTAGTGGGCGAATGTGGGAGTTTAGTGGGCGAAAGTGGGTGTCGAGGGGGCGAAAGTGGGAGGTTAGTGGGCGAATGTGGGAGTGTAATGGGCGAATGTGGGTGGCGAGGGGGCGAAATTGGGAGTTTAGTGGGCGAAAGTGGGTGTCGAGGGGGCGAAAGTGGGTGTCGAGGGGGCAAATGTGGGTGTCGAGGGGGCGAAAGTGGGAGGTTAGTGGGCGAATGTGGGAGGTTAGTGGGCGAAGGTGGGAGTTTAATGGGCGAAAGTGGGAGTTTAGGCCGATACCGACTCGGCCTTAATCGGAGCTCCGTACAGGGCCATGGAGTGAACGACCGTCGCGTATAATCGCCTGACCCTGACCTGCGGTCTGCGCAGGTTCGGCATCAGACGTCCTAACGTCGCGCTAACGGCTCGGATCTTCGATTCGAGGTGCGCCAGATGTTCCCCGTAGTGAAGGCCGGAATCGATAACTAAACCCAAGTATTTCAGCGAGCCACCCAGTCCGATTCTTACGTTGTTCACGGTAACGAGGACGCGGGTTTCGCGGATGATGAAACCCGCAAGCTTCCGTCTTCGGCAGAGACACCCGGAGACCGGTGTCCCGGATGGCCTCCACCGTTGCGTTAAGTCCCGTTTCGGCGCGTTCGCGAACCTCTGCCCACCCGCGACCGGTCGCGAGGAGCAGAGTGTCGTCGGCGTAGCAAGTCAACGATACGCCTTCGAAGAGAACGGTTCGGCTGAGGACGCGGTCGTAGGCGATGTTCCACAGGAGTGGTCCTAGGATTGATCCCTGAGGCACGCCGCAGAACACATCCGCCCTTCCCGTCGATCCGTCCAGTTTCTCGTACGCGATCTTCCTCTCCGAGAGGAAGGACCCTATCACCGACACGAGATAATCTGGCACGGACTTCGACGTTAGCCCGTCCCTTATCGCGGACCAAGGTACCGTTTGAACGCGTTTTTGATGTCGATGGAGACGACGATCGCGACGCCGCCCCGGTGAAGCGTGTCCCGGATACCGGCGCACACGCGGACGAGTGCGTCGGTCGTCGAACGGCCACCCGGAAGCCGTACTGATTCGGAGAGAGGTCGTTCCTCCCTCCCTCTGATCGTAAGTGTTCGTCGATCCGGGACGCTATCACGCGCTCAAACAACTTGCCCTCCACGTCGAGAAGACAAATCGGCCGGTATGCGCTCGGCGTCGTCGGATCCCTACCCGGTTTGTCCAGCAGTACCAAGTTTGCTTCTTTCCACGGCGTCGGAAACGTCGCCTCTCGGAAACACGCGGTGTAGAGGGCACACAGCACCCCGGTAGACTTGCCGAGAGTGTGGTAATGCACGCCGTTCGGGTCCGGAGCCGAGCGTCTCTTCGAGGTCGCGTCGAGAAGAAGGCGAACCTCCCCCTCCGTCACTTCGGTGTCGCGGTCGCGGTTCGCGTCGTGCGAGAGATCCGGCGGGGGAAACGCGAACGGCTCGACGCGAGGGAAGAGCTCTGCGATTACTTCCGCGAGAAACTCCTCCGTCATGCCGGCCGTCAGCGGTCCCGACGAATCTCTCAGTTTGTTGGTCACGAGACCGAACGGGAGACCCCACGGATCCGAATCCGCTTCGCTCAAGAGTTCTTTCCAGCACGTCTCCTTAGAACTCCATATCGCTCGTCGGGCCCGGATCCGGGTAGCCCTCCACTCCGCCTTAAAACGCGCGAGCTCGTCGTTGTTCGCGATGTCCTCGTAGCGTCCTCCCTGTTTGATCAGTTGCCTTTTTTTGCCGACGAACCGGCAACGTGGGAGACAGGACTCCTTCCACAATTCTCCTATCTCGTCCGTCCACCAGTACTTCGGCCGTTTCCGAGTCGTCGAGCGCGAGCCGATTCTCTTCATGCAGGAGTCCGAGATCCGTCTTAAGTCGTCCCGAACTCTCCGCGCCATATCGTGTGCATTTCGCCTTGTCGGGCCGCGAGACACTTGGCGAGCCGTTCGTTGTCGAACGACCTCAGACTCCACCGGGGCGAGGACTCCTCCGGTGAGGAGACTGCCCCCCCCCCCGAGCTCCGAGGATCCCCGAACGAGAACGCCATGTAGGCGTGATTGCTGAGGGACTCGAAGTTGGAAATGACCTCCCAGTCGGAGACCCGCGCCGCCGTCGAACCGGATGAAATCGTGAGATCGATCGTGGACCCGCCGGTGGACCGCACGCACGTCTTGACGCCTTTGGCGTTCCACACGATGAGATGACGCTCGTCTAACCATTGTCTTATTAATCGGCCGCGCGCGTTAGTTGCGTACCCTGACCACGATGTGTGTTTCGCGTTGAAGTCCCCGGACATGAGAATCGGACGCGAGTTCCCGAACCTGTCCAGCTCCCTCGCAATCGCTCGCAACAGGTCTTCGAATGCTCGCAGCGGACGATTTGGCAACGCGTATACCGAAACCAGGACCGAGTTTCTTCAGCCTGCGATAACGTAGTCGACTCCGCGGGACAATTCTCGACGTCTCGGACCCGGCGCCGAGCTCGAGAAGAAGATCGCGGCCACGCCATCCTCGGATACGAACCAAGTACCGGCGCGACAACCCCCTCCCCCCACGGAACGACGTGAGGCTTTGATATCATCGCGATCTCGACGCCCCACGTCCCTATCAGGTTAAGCAAGAGGTCTTGTGCCCCCTTGCACCTATTAAAATTAACCTGGAGAAACCTCGCCATGCTCACGAGAAACTACCGGCGGAGCCCCCGTTTCCCCCCGTGTTCCTGGTTTCGGATCCCCACCGAATGGGCGTACGAATGGGCCGAATGGTCACCGTGCAGGGCGTACGGCCTGACGGCCGGCCTCCGAACAGGGAGCGCAGGAGTTGCCGTAACCTCCATTGACCTAACCGCCTCCGTCAGTTTGGTTGCTAGATCTGCCGCTTTAGCTGCTTTGTTTTCTCCCTTAACTTCTCAATGACACGGCAGTAAAAATTTCTTAAATACCAAAACTTTTTATCCTTTTTAAATTTTATCCTTAAAACTTTTTTAATTTTATCCTTTTTTTTTGGTGTCTTCGACTTTAGATTAATTTGTAATAATAATAATGATGAGAAAAAATTTTAATAATAAAACTTTTATTATAAATTTAATCATTTAATTTAATTTTACAATTTTACGTTTCATAAAAAAAAAAATTAATATTTATTTATCATTATCGTACTAATAAATAATAATAATAATAATAATAATAATAATATACAAGAGAATTAAACTAAATTAAATTATATCATACATTTAAAATATAACACATTATTATTATTAATATTAATATTATTATCATCATCATCATCATTATTATTATTACATAATATAAAATAAAATTAAAGTTTATATAAAAGCAAAACAAAATTCGTTTCACTTTTTCTTCACACACTCTCACAAAAAAAAATAAAATAAAAACTGAAAAAAAAATTTTTCTTTTTTTGTCATTCAATACCAGGAGTGAAAAGGCTGGTAGTGCGTAAAACTCCCGCCAGAGTGTAGCACGGGTTGATTTAAATTCGAAGCAGGAGAAGGGGAGAGAACGTTCGATGAGATCTGATTTATATGTTGGCACCCGTGAGGGGAGGCACTTCTCATCGACGTCGGCAATCCCGGAGACCAAACGTGGGATCCTATATGGCATCCCTGTGAACTTCCGCTAAGGCTCATGTCGATGGTCGAGGATGATGCTGGATTTTGATGATTCGTTGAATGATCTTCCGTTTCGGGATTTCCTGCCGCCGGTACGTTGCCACCTGTTTGAGGCGATGTGATGGTCGTCGCTCCGGTGGGATAACTCGGCGAATTGTGATGTGCCGATGATATGAGTCCCGAATAATATGGATTTCCGGATCCGTTTCCGTTCGGACCGTTTATCATTAAACTTTGATAATTCGAGTCTTTGTACAAATTAGTCGTGTGAGTGTGTTGTTCTGAAATGGAAACCCCCGCCCCCCCTCGGTCAACATTAAATAATTCTTTAAATTTAAATGTAAATTGGTATCGTGTACGTGTGCGTGTACCTTGAGAAGTTGTTGGAAAATTCGATTCCGGAAGCATGTAAGAACTCGTGGTCGTGTTCGTAGAAGAATAACCCATTCCTAATCCTACGGAACCGTAAGAACTCGTGGAACTAGATAATTGTTTTCTTAATCTGGCTCTTCTGTTGCTGAACCATACCTAAAACATAAACATTTATTTATTTATTTTTGTTCTTTCGAATATGAATTTTTATCATAACCGTACCTGAATTCTTGCTTCCGTTAATTTAGTCCTTTGTGCCAATTCTTCTCTCGTATATATATCCGGATATTGAGTTCTTTCGAATGCTTTTTCTAATTCGTCTAATTGTAATGCAGTGAAAGTCGTTCGAGATCTTCTTTGTTTTCTTTTCAATGGAATTCCAGGTTCGGATTCGCAATCAGAATTATCTGAATTTTTACAACCTATAAATGGGATTTCATAACATTCGATTCGTAATTGTAAATAAAACTTACACGGTGGCAAAGTGTAAAAAAATTTTGCGACAGTTTATGTATTATTTTCGAAAGCGTCGGATTTAAAAAAAGTCATTAACTGACTAAAATAAATTTTTTTTCTTTTTTTATTTATTTATTTACAAAGCGAAATAATTTGTCCTTCTCTCTCTCTCTTTTTCTCTCTCTCTTTTTCTAAAATAGACGAATTAAATTAAAACACAAAAAAAAAGAAAAAAATTTTTTTAAATAAAAATAAAATAAAAAAAACTTCGACAGCTGCCGATTCTCTTTAACAAAATAATAACAATAATCCGTCATCGTCACGTGATCAAAAAAAAGCAGAAGAAATTAAAAAAACCGGAACGTAAAAGTAGAAAAAAAAACCTTTCCGGTAGAAGAGGGGAGGGAGGAAGGGGGGAGGGTTTTTTTTTAAAAAAAAAAAAGCGAAGGTGGAAGGGAAGTTGCGAGGAGAGGGAAGCGAAGTGGGCGGGACGAGAGACGGTCGACGTGGGGTGGGGAGAAAAGGTAGAAAGGGGGGAAGGAATAATCTGCGACAACAATTAATTCGATGGGTGAGCGGCAAAAGACAAAGAAAAAAATTTCTCTCTTTCTCTCTCTCTCTCTCTCGCATTTCTTTTCTTTGCGACAATTTTTTTTTTTTTATTTTTAAAAATAACAGCAAAAATAACGACGACAGCAATAATAATAATAATAATAATAATAAACGCGTATGAATTAAGAGAAGGAAGTGAGAGAGGGAGAAGGGGGGAGGGGAGGGAGAGAGAGACACGATGATTTTATTTCTTTATTGAAACGATGAAAGACAATAAAAGAAAGATAAAAAAAAAATTTTTTTTTTGTCTTTCTATTCTCCCTCGAATCGTGGATTTTTTATAATTCGATTCGAGTAATTGAATTTATCGATATATCGACGATATATCGTTTTTACTCCGGTTCATTTATTTATTTATTTTTGTTTTTTGTTTTCGTATTTATTATTATTGTCATACATGATCGTAATACGTCAACTTTTTTTTTTGTCGTATTCTAAACCGAGAGAGAGAGAGAGAGAGTAATAAAAAAAAATATATTTATTTAAACAATTTATTTATTTATTCATTTTTTAAACAAATGACGTAACTTTTTAAATCTTTTTTCGTCTCTCATTGTAATTTTTATTAACGTTTAAAAAAATTCTTTTTTTTTCATTTATTTTTATTTTTTATTTTTTCTTATTTTTTTTTTTTTTTATTAACGTTTAAATTTATTTATTTATAAATGACGATAATAATAATAATAATACTATTTTTTACTTCTCGGAATAAAAGAAAAAAACTCGCGTTATTAATATAAATAAATTGTTTTTTTTGGGGGGTAACGACGAAAAAATTTAAAAAAAAAAAAAAATTAAATAATCAGGTACGATGGTAGCAAATAAAAAGGGGAGGGGGACTCATCAATTTTTTTTTTCTCTTCATTTTTTAATTTTCTTTTTTTAATGTTTTTTCTTTTTTGCAAGTCTAAATAACATAAAAAAAAAAAAAAAAATAGAATAAAGAACAACCGACAAACGCACGCGTATTCCCTTCCACCCGTGACATTTCGCACGTATTTTTTCTTCTTCTAATTAAAAAGAGAGTAGGTAGACCGTGTCAGGTATAAATGCCCTAAACGTGAACCCAGCGGCATTTTCACTTCCTTCTTTATCTCAAAGGAATCCACCGACTTTGTGCCTTGTTTTTACGACCTTTTTATAAGTTTCTTTTTCCTTTGTTGTCTAAATAGCTTTTTTTTTTCCCATTGTTTCCAATCTTTTTTTTTTTTTGCATCTTTTAACTCTTTAACTTACTCTCGATATAATTTTTGTTTTTTTTTTTTTTTTTTTTTTGCAATTTAAACCGACTTTTTTTTTTTTCCTATTCGACAACTTTTTTTTTTTTTTTTTTGTTTGATTGAAATTGAGTGTAACGTTTCTCTCTCTCTTTCCCCCCTCCCCTCATTCCTCTCTCTCTCTCTTTTTTATCTAATAAGTAATCCAAAAAAAAAAAATTGTTTATAAGACAGTTAAGACAGTTTGTCAAAACAATTTACTTAGAAAAAAATACGGAAATTTGAGTCTGAACAAAAAAAGGTAAAATCATTTTGTTACGGATTCTAAACGACAGAAAATTTTTTTTTTTTTCTTCAGACGCGAAGGCAAAAAAAAAAAAAAAAATGTCTGATTGACAACCCAGACCAAATTAAAATCGGAATAGAAAAAGACAAGCAAAGAAGGAAGGAAAAGAAAAAAAAAATCCTTGACAGGCCCCCAAATAATAAAATCGGGGTCCTGATCGTAAAAAAAAATATGGTCGAGTGTGAAAAAAAAAAAAAAAAAAAAAAAAAAAAAGAAAGACAATAATGTCATAGATGATTAATTTTTTGGTATTTCAGGTTGTGTTCTTGTCCTTGTTTTTGTTTCTCAACCCCCCCCCCGCCATCCTCTCCCCACCCTTCTATTCCTTCCTTTCTTTCCTCACAATTCCCTTTTTTTTTTTTGCAAAAAATTTCGAATCGATTTAATAAAAATTATTATTATTATTATTATTATTATCACTACTAAAATGCTTTTCTCGTCGACTAAATGAAAGAAAAACAAAAATCATTTTGATATTCTGCTACCACGAAATTCTCATAAAAAGAAAAACGTTTACAAAATGGCCGACACACGTAATAACGGTTTATTATTATATAGCCTTAATGCCGAAAACAAAAACGAAAAAAAAATTTTTTAATTTAACTTAAATTTATCCGAAATTAAGAAAAGACTCGGTCCGAAAAACGAAGCCATGATGATGATGATGATGATAATAATAATAATGATAATATAACGACTTACCATCGTTAATTTTTCTGTCATCTTCTCCGTCTCTTCCTCTTAAAAGACGAGAAATAGCACTTACGGATGGTACCGAACTCCTATCGCAAATCCCTTCTTTAATTAATCTAGAAAGAAAAACGTAATCGAAATTAGAAAATTCTAGAAAAAATTATGGATAGAGAGAAACGGATTATTATCATTTGGTAAAAGATAAAGAAAAAAAAATAAATAAATAAATAAATTTAGTTTTTTTTTGTAGTAGTTTCCGAGCTACTTGTGTAAAATACACAAATAAAATAAAAAATGTCAGGTATGTACCTGACTGATGAGGCACGTAAACGAAAAGGCAACGTTACGAAATTAATTTTTTTTTTTTTTTTTATATTTATTGCTTTCGAGTTTTATTATGAACATCAATAAGACACCGATTTATTGAAAATGTCCATGGAACAAAATAAAAGCAACATGACGAATAAGAAAAAAAAAAGAAGAGATGATGATGATGATGATGACGATGACGATAATGATGATGATGATGATGATGATGATATTTAATAGACTTAAAGTTTATTTGAGCGAAACACAAAGAAATGAAGAACAACAACGATAATAATAATAATAATAATAATAATAATAATAATAATAATAGCAAATGAATGGAATAAAAATAATTTTATGGTTTAACAGTGAATCGAATAGATGAAGAAGGAGAAGGAGAAAAAGGTGGTAGCAAATCATTAGACTGTTAATTAGTGAAAAGGTGAGTTAAGGTTTGATGTACAAGGTACGATGTCGTAAACGGTAGCCCCTGTGAGAATTTTTTTTTTTTTCCTTTAACGTTATTATATTTACCTGTCTCGAATTTCCCAAGAAAAAATCCCTGGATTTTCTCTTTTATAGTCTTCGATTCTCTTTTCGACTTCTGGAGTTGCAACTCTAGGTTTCGAACCTCCAATAACTCCAGGTCTAATACTTCCAGTTTCCTAAATTAAATATTCAATTTAATAAGATAAATTTGTCATCATCGTTTAAAACGTTTTTTTCAAACACACGAGCGCGCACAAAAAATCAAACCGAAAAAATTTACATATGAAACCGTTAAAATTTATAAAAACATAAATTTTTCATTAATATAATCGAATTTTATTAACTTGTAATTAAAACTAATAAATAACGTTAAAAAAATCAATAATTAATCAATAGATATTCGATAAATTATCAATAAATACGTAAAAATTTAAAAATATAAATAAAAATTTAACGAAATAACGTTCGATCGTTCGAATTCACTTTTCACGAATAAAATTTAAATTTTTTAACGATTATTTAATTATTACGTCATCACTACTCTAATCAAATAAAAAATTAATTTTATAGAATTTTTCTTTTAATTAGAATTAAAAATCGTGAATAACGTTTTAAAAAATCAATAATTAATCAATAGATATTGGATAAATCATCGATCAATATTCAAAAATATAAAAATTTAACGAAAAACGTTCGATCGTTCGAATTTACTTTACCAAAAATGGAATACAAATGTTTTTTATTAACGATTATTTAATTATTACGTCATCACTACTTTAATCAAATAAAAAACTTTTTAAGTACGTTTTAAAATATATTTTTTTGTTGTTGAAATTATAATTAACGATTAACCGCGAGTAATTAAATTAAATAAATAAATAAAAAACGTTGAAAAAATAATTAACGCCATTTTTTTTATGCTTTGATAATCATCAGAGAGAGAGAAAAGAATATATATATATATATATAATATTAATTTGTTAAAATAATTTATTTTTTTGTTAATTATATAAATTTATTAAAGGTACGTATATATAATTATTTAAAAATATTATAAACGTCACATTAAAAAGTTAATTAATTAATTAATTAACATTTAATTTATTAACGTTTTATTAGTGTAAAAATAATAATAATAATGATAATCGATAATAAAAAAATTTATTTATTTAAAAATTAATTTGTCTTACCTGGTACCTATTTAATATTTTTGATACGCATCCGTGAGAAACTCTTAATTGGCGGGAAATAACGCAGGGACGTATACCGGCACCGGCCATTTCAACAATTTTTAATCTTATTTGATTTGGAAGTGGACGACCGTTAATAAAAACTCCGCCGAGTTGATTAACACGGCCTTGTCCTAAAAAAAAATTTAATTAATAAAGGGGTGGGTAATTAGGAATATGGATAAATAAAAAAAAATTAAGGTATATATTATACACGTACCTTGAAATGGATAACCAGTAAAACACGAAGGCCGCATCATTTCACAGTCCAAATTGGTTACTGTCATTTTACTAAAAGCCACCTTTTTTCATTTCAATCTTAAATTGTTTTTTTTCTTTCTTTTTCTTTTAATTTTCATTACAATTTTTTATTATATTCGTTATCGTTATCATCATTATCATTATTATTATTATTATTATTATTTACACAATGAACGAAGTCAACGAATGGAGGAGCAACAGCATCAGCATCATCATCATCGTCGTCGTCGCCAACGATTTCAACATCACTTTTAAAAATAATAATAATTATTATTATTATTAATAATTTTTTGATAATTCTAGTGACACGTTAAATTATTATTAATATTATTATTATTAATTTTTTTTAAATTGTAATTTGAAAGGTATTTATTTTTGTTCAAATATTTTTAATAATAATAATTGAAGAAAAAAAAGGCGAAAAATTTTTTATAAATCGGGAAGGGGGAGAAAAGGGCAGGATCGGGACCTCCATCATGGGGAACCCGATGAAAAAAAAAAGAAAAATTTATTATTAATCCTGTTGAGAAATTTTTTTCATCGGGGAAACAAAAAAATTATTAAACCGACGGTATCGAAATACCTGAAAATATTTATTAAAAAAAAAAAAGTCAATAATAATAATAATAATAATTATTATTATTATTAATGTTATTATCATTATTATTATATATTTTTAGGGTCAAATTTTAAGGTCAAAAACTTAATACATCATTTTGACGGATTTTGGTAACGTTATAGAAAAAATTAAGAAAATTTTTTTTTAATATTTTTTGTGTTCAAACGACAAAATGAAATTTTTTTTTTTTTAAATGAAAAATTAATAATAATAATAATAATAATAATAATTATAATTAAAATCAGACTGACAACCCCGACAATAAGGAAAACAAAAAAAAAATTATTATTAGTTATTATTATTATTAATATTACGTCGTCGACATATTAAAAAAAAAATTTTTTTTTTTTGCGACATTTCGGTTATTAAAAATTAGAAAGTTTTTTTTTTTTTTTCTAATTTATTAACTTTCGATTTTAATTTATTAATTTAACCGATAAATTAAAAATAAATTTATTATTATTATTATTATTAATAAAAATTTTCAATAAGTAATTATTTACCGTAAAAAAATAAGAAGAAGAAAAATTACGTCGTGAACATTTTTAATTTATTTTTGGAAAATTTGTTAACACGACGGATTAATTTATACTCAGTGATGCCAACATAATTTTTTTATTAATTTTTTGACGGCGGAAAATTCGAGAAAAAAAATAAAATCGGAAAATTTTTTTATATAAAATAATCGTAATCATCACGATCATCATCATATTTCATCGAAAGGGGGGTAAAAAAAAAAAACAGTTTTGCCAACTTTAATTATTTTATTAAAAAAAAATTTTTTTGTATCGGTGGTAATATATTCAAAGAAAAATTTTTTTAATGACGTCACACGATAAGGGAGGGTTTACGAATGAATTTTTTAAAGAATGTCAAAAAACAAAAACAACAACAAGCGGAAGGAAGTTAGAAAGGGGGAGAAAAAAAAATTTAAAATTATTGCGCGCCTTTTTTTAAATTAACAAAATTTTTTTTTTTCGGTTACGAACCTAATAACGAAAAATTTTCAATTTGACCGGTCAGAAAACTCGAAACAAAAAAAAAAGTTATTAATTGTGGCATCTCGAAAAAGAAATGAAAAATAGATTTGAAAAGGTGGCAGAAACGGGTGCCACCGGTTGGTATCCACGTTTTGAAAAAATAATTTAAAAAATTCTACCGAAGGGAACGATGATGATGATGATGATGATGATGATGATTAATGGCGGTCTCCGGTTTTTCTATACCTTTGAGCCGTCGGTCAACTAAAATAATAATAATAATAATAATAATAATTTTATTTTTTTTCCCCCTCATCCTCGTACTCATTCTCATCTTCATCCTCATCCTTCTTTTTCTTATTCTTATTCTCCTTAGTTTTAAAATAAAATCATTATCATTATCATTTTAATAATAATTTTTTTTTTAAATTTAATTTCAAATGTTGGTACTAAACAAAAAAATAAAAATTTACTCCGGATAAATCGTAATTAATTATTTTTGTGATTTTTTTTTTTTTTTTGAAATGAATTTAAATTTGAGGTACATTTAAGGTACTATCCCCCCATCTGGAAAACGATAATAATAATAATAATAATAATAATAGTAATAATTTTTTCTGTGATTTATTTATCGATAATATTCTGGTAACGTGAAAAAAACTTGGGGAAAAATCGATTAAAATTTTTTTTTTGCGTGACACAATCATCGAAAATATTTTTTATTTTTTTTTTCGAAAGGTTAAAAGGTTAAATTTGTTTTTTTTTCTTTTTCTTATTTTAAATTTTATTTTAGGTACTTTAAAAAGATTAAATTTTTTATTTTATTTTTAACGGTTTTTAACGGTTAAATGATGAGAAAATATTTTTGTTGTTTAAACAAAGACAATGATCAACCGAAGTTTTTTTGTAAGTAGCGACGGTTCTTTTAAGTTTGTAAAATTTTTTAGAAACAAACAAACAAACAAAAAACAAATACAAACAACTACAAACAACAACATTTAAATATATAAAAAAAAATTACACGACGAGTTTTTTTAAAATTTAAAAAATTTTAAGTTTTCCAAAATTTTTATTTGATGTTTCGCGAACTTCTTCAAATTTAATTTAACGACTACGGAATAAAATTTAACGTGGCAGAAGAATTAAAGGGGGAAAATTAATAATAAAAAAAACAAATGAAACCCTCTTGGGAATTTAGCGTTATCATTTATCCCCGCGATTTCTTTTTTTTTAAATTTAAATTTAATACGGGGAAAGGGGGGTAATTATTAACAAACGTCCAAACAACAAATTTTACGTGTTTGTGTGGGGGAGAAGGAGGGGGGAAAATGAGGTGAGTTAAGACAAAAGGGTAAGTTGAAAAACAACGAATAATAAAAAAAAATTTGTTTCGGAAAAATGAAATGAAAATTATTTTATACGATTACGACCCCCTTCAACCGTACATTAATAATAATAATAATTTATTAATAAGTTAATAATTTTAAAAAAAAAAGTTTTTGCCTATTCCCACGACTCGATACCAAAAAAAAAAAAAATTAATTTCTTACCACTTTTTTCTTTTGTTTTAACAACGAGTATTATTATTATTATAAAATAAGAAAAAAAATTTTTTTTATAACATAATTTATATAAATATTAAATAACACATAAAAAAAAAAACGTTATCACGATAAAATAATAACCGGATATGGTATGATAATAATAATAATAATAAATGCAAATAAAAAACTTTTAAAAAAAAATTCACAATAGAAAAAAATAAATTAAAAACATAAATAATAATAATAATAATAAATAAATAAATGTGTTTTTTAAAAATGAATGCAACTTTACCGAAACGCAGTGGAACTAGAACTAAATTTTACTGTGAAACTTCTGACACCATAGAAAATCGCTGGCAGAAATAAAATATTATTAAAAAAAAAACTTAATGGACGAACGGACGGGGGCTTTTCCCCTCTACTTTTTTTTTTTTTTCATATACCTTATTTTATTTAAACTGACGTTTGAAAAAAAGTTGTTTTATTAAAAGGGGGGGTAAAATAAAAAAAAAAAAAGATGCCGAGACGTGTATTTTTTCTTACGCGAAAAATTAATTAAATGATGATAATAATAAACTAATTGTATTTTTTAATAAATAAATTAAAAACTGGGTAAATTTTCCGAACCTTAAATTTAAGAAAAGAAAAACCGTCAAAGGTAGGTACAGGCATAAAAAAATGAAAGACAAAAGCGAATTTTTTTTTTTTTTTGCGTGTCGTTTTTTGTTTAACATTCTTTGTTTCGACACGAAATGAGAATTTTTTTTTTTTTAGTGGCACCAAAGACAGAGTGGCTACGAAATATGTTAGCTGATTCCACGATGGCCACGCCTCGAGGGGAATTGTTTGTCTGCCACCGTTTATTATTTCATAATTAAATATTTGGCTATTAAATTTTTCTTTTTTAATCGTTTTTTTTTTCTCTCTGGAGATCGGCAAAGAAATAATAATAATAATAATAATAATAATAATAAAACAAACCGTTCGATTTCGAATTTTTTTTTTTTTAATAAATCACGAAACGACGGAGATCACAAAACAATTGTGAGAAAGAAAAGGAAAAAAAATGCGCGCGGAAAATAATAATAATAATAATGTCCACGTTTTAAATCAATTAATATTTTCCATTAAAAAAGAAAAAAAAAAATTTTTTTTTTATTAAAGATATTTTCAAATAAAATAAAAAATTTTAATTGGTTAAAAAATAACCAATAAAAAAACATGTGGGCGTGGCTACATTTTTCCCTCCTCCTGTTACTTGTTTTTTTTTTATATATAGAAAAAATTCCAATATCGTTTTCTTTGTTTAACTATCGTTTTTATTTTTATTATTTATTTATTTATTTATTTATTACTATTACGTACCGGAAATAAATAAATATTTAAATAAATAAATAAATTTATTTTTTACGTAAATATTATTGATGATTGTTTTATTATTATTTTTTACGCATTTCCAATAAGGAAAATAAAATAAAAATTATGTAATTAATTTTTTTTTTTTATTAAAGGTATAACCTTCAATACAATCACATATTTTATGTTTTTTTTTTTCGTTTCGCAATAATACCAACAAAACAAAAAAAAATACTTTAAAATATTTATTTATTTATTTTAGTTATGAAAGTAATTAAATCGAACGTTCTGGAAAAAAAAAATTAAATTTCCGTCGTATAAAAAAAAAATTAATAAATAAGGACAAACAGACGTAGGAACGAACGAATGATCCAGGTGGTCTATGATCAATCCTTAAAAAAAATCCCCCCAATTAATCTTAATCCCAATTTTTTATACATAAACCGGAAATTCAGAGACATCCAGAAATAATTTTTTTTTCTCATTTTTCATATGGAAAATTTTTTTTTTGGTTTTCGATTAACCTT